GAACGAATGGATGACGATTGGAGAAGGATGCCCTTTAACACTAAGGAACCCCTGCGTGGACCCGCAGATTTGTACAATAGGTTTCCTTCCCAACAACCACACGTGGACCCATCATTTGATCAGGGACGTGCCAGGATTCCACCGATGGAAAATCGACCCTTTAAACATCCTGGCTTTGCTGAAGGTGTTCAAGGAAGATATCCTTATCCATTCCTGCAAACTCAGGGAATGCCAGAACCTGAGTCCCAGGGGAGGCATTTTTACAGGGGCCAGCAGCCTTATCTAGGACCAGCACCAGGACCAGAAGCAAATTACAGCTATGACAAGTTCTGGAGCCAAGGCTATCTTTCAAGAGATCAATACTCTGAATCTGCTTTACCACAAGAGATGCAACCACCTGATTTTGACCCTGCTTTTAACTACTTGTCATCTACCAAAGACTATGATCAGAGCTCAGAGAAAATGCTTCCTGCAGCAGATTTTAGTTCGTCTCAACCTAGAAGACTAAGTTTAGGCCATCCATATACGTGCCAAACCTCTCCCACGCCCTCCAGCCACGCTGATCAGAGGCAGTTTCTTCAGGAGTCTAACAGTGACCGCAAGGATCCCATGGTTAAAAAGGGTCTGAGAAACTGGAGGATTAACTCATACCTTAGTGCATATGATAATTCAGGAGATGAAGGCCTGCCAGTGGAACCACCTCAGGCCCCAGATCCTTTTGAAGAACCCCGTAACACCATGCAGAAAACAGCACCAGGGGTTGATTTGTCACTTCCTAAAATCCCAAATGTCAGAGAGTTCAAAGTTCCTGTTATATCCAGGGTGAGTCAGATACCAAATTATGCCAAAACAACAGCCAGAGAACAGCCTAAGGTATTGCCCGATGAACCTCCTGCAGTGGCAGAAGAAACCAAAACAACACCATCAGAGTCACAAACCACAAACAAGGAGGAAAAGAGGACAGAGGAGGGAGAACAAAATGAGCCAAAGCTTCTGCGGTCCGATTCTTTCCGAAGGAAACTAAATGCTAGTGGAATGAACAGGTGCTCCAGGTTAAGGTCCTCTCTGATATTCAGCTCTCTGGATCAGCCAGCTCCTCAGGATAGTCAAACTACCCCTCCTGAGCAAAAGGACGGAGACACTGAAGACATTGACAAAACTGAATCTGAAAAGATAAAACTACCCTTTGTTTCTCAAGTTCTGGGACAAAGGAGAACTGCTGCTAGAGAACCTTACGAATGGACTCGGTACCTAAAGACATCCACAGAAACAAAACCAGACAAGGAAAGCACTAAAGGAGATGATAAAAATTCATCAAAGCAAGAAGATTCAAAAGACGTTTCAGAAAAGCGTGAGGAAACAGAGTCAGCAAAAGTACCCCATGTAGAGCAGCCTAATCTTTCGCCATCCATGCCTCGATCCAAGCTTTCTGAAGCTGAGCTATCCAAAACCAATCAGCCGGTACAACCACCTAAACCTTTAGCTACCCTTCTACCATATGCAGATATGAATGATCCTGATGTAAGATTAATGTTTTTCAAAGAGCTGGCAGCAAAACGCAAAGCTGAAGCAGCCACAAAAGCTGCAAAGGGCAAAGGAAAAGACCCGGTGAAACCAGAAACTGAACTAAAAGTCAACAGTGGTGTCAAAAAGGAGGGACCTGAACCAAGAGAATCCTCAGAAGACAGGGCTTCCAAAACTGAGGGGGAAAAGAGTGCTACTGCAGACGGTCAGTCAGCTAGTGTGTCTTTTGAATCCAGTGAAAACATTAACCAGCAGGACAGTCAGATCGAAAATCACTCCAATACCTCCCAGAGCTCTAAAGAACAAAATAAAGTAGCAGAAGATTTAGGCACAACAAAACTGGACAACAGTCAGTCAACAGATCTTCTTCCTGCTTCCTCAGAGTTACCTCTGAACAAATCACCACAAGAACCCATGCTGTCAGATGCTGCTGATGACGAGAGCAGCCCCAGTCATCCACCCACAAATTCTGCTCCCACTAATGTTTCTTCACTTACACAAAGTACTGATAAAACGGAAACCCCAAGCCCGGATTCTACCTCAAAGGAGTCTAAATCAGTCTGTGCCAATTCTGATGAAGGACTTTCTGCGTTGGCTTCTCACACCCAAAATCCTGAATTGACTCATTTAGTAACCAGCATCTCCCCTCCTGCAGTAACATCAACAGTTGACGCCTTTGACCCATCAATGCTGAGATCCTCCTCTGAGAATAATCTGCTAGATTATGGTTCACAGAAAAGTCCAGTTTCTTTATCGTCCGGTACGCCTTCTCTTTTTACCACTGAAGAGAACAGACTTTCAGAAGATTCCAGTTCACACCCTGCTTCTGGCATATTAGCTTCAAATGATGATAAAACAGAGGCACATGACTCTATGAGCTCCTCGCCAAAAGGGTTAGCAGAAGATTCTAAATCTAAAGATACGAGTAACCAAACTCCTCTAGATTCCTCTTCCAAGTTGCCGTCATCCCAGACTCCTTCAGCAACTGACTCTGTACATATGGAATCTGGTGTTTCTCCTGAGGTGTTTGTTAGTGGTGCTGAGTCAAGCTCATCCTCGTTACAGTCCACCACAAGCGTTTCTGGTGCTACAACTTCCACAGAAAGGTCAGAAAAAGATATTTCTGAATCAGAGAAAGCCAATTGTAAAAGCGAAAAAGATCCTTCTGTAGCTGAGAAGAGCATGACTGAATCAGAAATACAGGTTTCTGAACCAGAAAAAGATGCCTCTGAAACAGAAGTAGGCATGCCTGAATTAGACAAACGTGTATCTGAATTAGAGAAAGTCGTGTTTGAAACAGCTATTTCTGAAACAGAAAAGGCCATTTCTGCGACATCAGACCCAGGAAAGGGTACTTTGGAATCAGAGAAAAGTGTTTCTGAATCAGAAAAAGACCTTATTGAAACATCAAAATCAGAAAACGATGTCTCTGAATCAGAAAAGAACCTTTCTCAAGGAGAAAAGTGTGTTTCTGAACCAGAAAAATCTGAGGGAGCTCTATCTGAAACAGAAAATGCCATTTCTGAAAAACAAGAATCCGTAAAAGATATTTTTGACTCTGAAAAGAGCATTTCTGAACCAGAAAAACGTATCTCTGAATCGGAAATAGGCACGTCTGAATCAGAGACAGCTGTTTTTGAAACAGAAAAGGCCATTTCTGAGACATCAGACCCAGAAAGGGGTACTTTAGAATCAGAGAAAGGTGTTTCTGAATCACAAAAATCCATTTCTGAAACATCAAAATCAGGAAACGATATTTGTGAACTAGAAACACGCCTTTCTCAAGTAGAAAGACGTGTTTCTGGGTCAGAAAACATTGTTTCTGAACCAGAAAAGTCAGAGAGAGGTGTTTCTGAATCAGAGATAGGTGTATCTGAAACAGAAAAGGCCATTTCTGAAAAACCCGAATCGGAAAAGGATATTCCTGAATCTGAAAAGACTGTTTCCGAATCAGAGGAAGGTGTTACTGAGTCAGGAAAAGAAGTTTCACAATCAGAAATCGGTGTTTCTGAATCAGAAAAGAGCCTTTCTCAAGTAGAAAACATAGTTTCTGAACCAGAAAAGTCAGAGGGAGCTGTTTTTGAATCAGAGATAGGTGTATCTGAATCACAAAAATCCATTTCTGAAACATCAAAATCAGAAAATGATATTTGTGAACTAGAAACACACCTTTCTCAAGTAGAAAGACGTGTTTCTGGGTCAGAAAACATTAGTTTCTGAACCAGAAAAGTCAGAGAGAGATGTTTCTGAATCAGAGATAGGTGTATCTGAAACAGAAAAGGCCATTTTGAAAAACCGAATCGAAAAGGTGTATTTCTGAATGCAAAGACGTTTGATCGAGAAGGTGTTACTGAGACAGAAAAAGCAATGTTTCTGAATCAGAAAAGGTTATTTCTGAGACTGCAAAGACTGTTTCTGAATCAGAGGAAGGTGTTACTGAGACAGAAAAAGAAGTTTCTGAATCAGAAATTTGCTCAGTTCAAAAGGCTGTTGCAGAGGATTCTGTGGTTCCTGAATCTTCACATGTCAAAGGTGATATCATACCTAGTAGCCCTTCTCCACCTGAGCCATGTGTACCTGAGATAAAAGAGCCCACTATTACTGTACCCACACCCACGGACACTCCAGCCGAGCATTTGCCATCAGAAGCAAGCTCCACTGTCATTACAGACTCTACTCTTAATGCTTCGCAGTCAGAAACAACTGCAGCTCCTCAAGACGCACAGATACAAGCAACCCCTCCCTCTGACCTCAACTTTACAGGAGCTGAGGCACCAACCCCTGCTGAAACAGGATCACGTTCCTCTCCTTTGTCTGAGTCAGTTGAATTCGTTTTGCCCCCTGAAGCTAAAAAAGCAGAAACCAACATGTCTGCATTGCACACTCTCGCTGATACAAATTCCCTTTCCAACCAGACTCCATCAGAATCGGATAAAGCCCCCAAAACTCCCTCTAGCACAAATGAGCCTACCTCAGAGCCACCTGTGCCTGCTGAAAATAGTAAAACAGAGCCTGAGCAACTGGACACAGGCAGGAGAAACTCAGATCATACCCAGGGTACAAAGGAAAGCAGTGCCAAAGAGTCTGTCGGCAGTGAGAAAACGAATGACCAAATACAGCAAAGTAACTTTTCTGAATCAGCAGAGATCACATCCAAGCAGCCCAAATCGAGCCAGTCTCGATACCACTCATCCACAGCCAACGTGCTCTCGAGCAGCAACCTCAGAGACGATACCAAGCTGCTCCTGGAGCAGATTTCCGCTAATAGCCAAAGCAGGAATGAGGCTACCAAAGAGTCTCCTGTTACCGATGACGAGAAAGAAGACAAAGCTGACAAAAATGCTAAAAGGGAGAAAGAACGAGGACTTGATAAACTAAACAAAGGGCAAAAATCACCTCAGGAGCGAGAAAAGCTGCTGGAGAGGATCCAGAATATGAGAAAGGAGAGGAAGGTTTACAGTCGATTTGAGGTATGAATGTATTACCAATATTGTTTGCTATTAGAAGTATTAATATATATTTAATTGCCCTTGTGGTGAATCTATTTTTTTTTGTCTCTACTATCACAGATGACAACTTAAATGGGATCCAAAGAAAGATGAGATATTAAAAGGTGGATACAGGATGTGTAGAAGGAAGTGAAATTAAATAAATAAAAAGCTGGCAAAGATATTTGTTGGAAATGGGATTTCTCTTCTGGGTTGTATGGAAAACAAGGCTTATCATGCACAGAAGAGTCAGGGAACGTGTACTGAAGCGTGACTTTAGACAATATGCAAGTTATTGCAAAGCCGTTGTCCCAATTACGTGCGACGTGTTCAACAACGAGCTTCTTACTGTGGCTGAATCATCAAGTTGCTCCCAGTATGAACTGAGAGCATGAGTGCAGGATCGAACATGTTTTTACTGACTGCAGGGTAACGTGCAATGTGTCAAACCAAGTTTCTGTGAAGAGGCCTTCTTGCCGTAATCTTTTACAACACTGACAGCAGCGTCAGCTAGTTTTATGACGAGATGTTAGAGAACTGATAATCTGCAGTGGTCAGATTTTGTAAAGCTGTAATATACTATAGTTTGTATTATAATGGTTCAGCTTCATCTTAAAAAGATGATAATTACATATATTTGGAAGTAAGTGGATCTGTGGATCATGCTGGCATAAATAAACTGTAACGTTTTTCATCCTAAACATGCAACCGAAAACAAGGAAATGCACACGATGGACTCAGACGTCGACGTGTAACACTGTGTCGTTTTTGTTTTCAGCTGTTGAAAGCAGATGTCATTAAGGTTAATGATGAATATTCAAAGGTGCATCAGGTTTACTTCAAGGTCTTGTTTATATACACCATTCAACGCTTTTTCATTTACACATTTTGGGGAACAAACCCCAAAATCCAGCATATGAAGCTTTTTTAAGTGTTTACTTTGCCCGTGGAAAGCCAAAACTATCCGACAGTATGGGGTTGTATTTTATAATCTGCTGAAACCAACCTTTTATTTGTCTTTTAAACTTTTCTCTAGCCTGCAGTTTTTAAATCAGTACTTGTTCTACGTGTCTGTTGAAACTGATCTTGAAGCTGTGAAGAGTTTACATATGTATGTTTGAGTATGTAGAGCTGAGCAGTGACAGTGAGTTCTCACAGATTTACAGTATCATACCTGTCTTCATCACCTTTTGCTGTTTGTAAATAAAACTTCTTAAATATATCGAGGCTTGTTTGTTTTTGTTGTTTTTTTTCCTCCCATGTCTGAGGTGCAGTTCATTAAATTCATCTTTGATATAGCACAGAAAGAAACTCAGGTACTGCTTTAAAAGTAAATTTTAGGTACTATGACACTATTTCCACAAAATTAAACATGCCATCTAAAATAAAAATAAAACCAGAATTAAATAATAAATTATTTAAATCCTTAATTGCAAGAGGTTTTTAAATATTTACGTATATAATGTTTCATATGTAACATGTTCGTGTGTAACTTGAAAACTCCATTTGATTTAAAATATCCAAAAAGAACACATACATTATATTTTATATAACAGATTTCTCTTCTAAACCTACACAGATTTAGTAGCTTTAACACAGTGATTGCAACATACTGCATATTGGCTTTGGCTCAGTACTATCAGTTCACAGGCTTTACATCAGCACCATCTTCAGGCCATTTATGACATCTATGAAAACTTTAAGGATCACAGGAAAAGTAATGGGAGAACAAGTTTAGGAGAAAACTTTATTTAATTTTTATTTTTGCCTGTTTTTCCTAACACGTTTATTCTCTAACGTGAAACTTTTGCTCTTTGAAATTTTCTTTCTTATGAATTTATCGGGTTATTTTGTCGTCACACATTTACTATTATTTTAATAAGCTCGCGAGAGATGTGTCGAGCTCCTGAATTTAGATTTCCAGCAATAATAAAGAAGTAACTCTTCTGTGATCCAGTCTTTGTCAGAAGATATTTACCTATCTGAACTTTGCAAGTTTTAGGCAGGTGTGAAAAAATGCTGTAAACAAAGAATACTTTCAGAAATATAAATGATTGTTTATTGGCCCCACATGTTTTCTGCAGTAGGACAATGACCCCAAACATACAGCCAGTCATTAAAAATTATTTTCAGCGTGAAGAACAAGAAGTACTGGAGTGACGGCATGGCTCCCACAGAGCTCTGATCTCAACATCATCGAGTGTGTCTGGTATTGCATGAAGAGACAGAAGGATGTGAGGAAGCCTACATCCACAGAAGATCTGTGATGTTTGGAGCACCCTACCAGCCGAGTTCCTTCAAAATCTGTGTGCAAGTGTACCTAGAAGAATGGATGCTGCTCTGAGGTAAAGGGTGGTCACACCAAATATTGACTTGATTTAGATTTCTTTTTTGTTCATTCACTACATTTTGTTGATTGGTGGAAAATAAATAGCATTCTTTGTTTACAGCATTTTTTCCTCACCTGCCTAAAACCTTTGCACAGTACTGTATCTGAACTCACATAACCTTCCTAACTCGTTGGGATTTCTCTTGCAAAACACTATATAACAGATTACACTCTCACTGTGCATAAATTTGCCTCCCAGCCACAAGCGGTTATGAAAGAAGTCGCCATATGTTTCGTAAAAAACTGAACAGTGGTTCTCTTGTGTTTCTTTGTCTCTGCTGCCTGCAAATGTCTTGATAAGCCGGCGCTGAATTACACTAATCTTTAAAGAACCTTCACTGCTTCAAGTGCCTCACATCTGAAGGGAAAACTTTGAAGTTTAGTCTTTTTGTTTTGTTTTGTTGTTGTTTTTTTTGCTTGCATTTTAATTTATTTTCACTATTTATTACAGAAGAATATAAGTTTACACTGAGAATGACTGTTAGGAGAGTGTATCACATTACAGCATTCAGCTGGTATGCGTTTATTGTTAAGAATCTCAATGATAAGGATGGAGAGGATTTGCCACCAGGAATCTTTGTTTATGGAGGACCTTGGAAGTACCTCACTTTTTTGAATTTGGTGAGTACCTTGATCGTTTATGGGTAATTGTTGTGAAGGATTAATGACCCTGCGATCCCAACAAGGACAGTGGGAAAAAACAACAATGTTGCTTGTAATGTTTCAGTTATTGCAAATGACGTTCTTTGGACTGGCGGCAGTGAATGATCTTCAACCTGAGAAAAAGGCTGAGAGTACTCTGAGCAAGTTTAAAGACCTTCTCTTCTCTGTCTTTGCCTTTCCAGTGGGCACGGTGAGAACCCCACATTTGCAAATCCTACATTCTTTCAAGTGCAAAAACACCCCCAAAGCAAAACACTATGCTTCACATTAACTCTGCCTTTGCTGCCTTTTCTTTAGTTTGTTGTTCTACTTTTCTGGGCAATCTTTGCATATGATAGAGAATTAGTCTACCCAGCTACCATCGACACCTTCTTCCCTCCGTGGATGAACCACGCTATGGTCTGTTGACTTGTGTTCTTCGGCATAATAAATAATTACTCAGCATCGTTTGTATTTTTAAAACATTTTTAAGCAATTCCTGGTTGGCCTGTCGGGACTTCTCATGTTGCTGTTGGCTTTTTCTTTAGCACACATTTGTCCTTCCCATCTTACTTGGAGAGGTGCTGGTGCAGCCTCACGTCTACCCACAGACTAAACATGCACTGACGGCATTAGGAATCGTGGGCTTGGCTTACTTATCTTGGTAAGTGCTGACTCAGCATTAACAGCATAATCAAGCACTTAAAAAAAAGCATTTCTTCAGTTTTTATCTTTCATTTGACACTGATTGAAGTTCACCTTCACCTTCTGAAAGCACAACACTGTCTAAATGCATCTATTTTTGCTGCTCCAGTGTGCATACAGCTTGCGGGTAAAAGCTTCTTTTCAACCTCCACAGCTCGGGCTCACATGTTGTAATGCAGCCAATAACTCCTCATGAGTACAGAACAAACCATAAGCATGCTGTTCATTGCATATGAGATGTTTAGTTTTGCTGCTGTTTTGCTGTTACAATGACTGCGTGAACACACTGGGTGAATGTTTGCATGAGTCAAACCTTTTTTTTCCTTCCTTTTTTTATTTTATATTCTGAACATGTTCTGCAGGATTATATGGGTGTACATGTCAGTCGGGATTTGGGTGTATCCTCTTCTTGGGCGCTTCAGTGCTGCTGGTCTGGTGGGCTTCTTCTTTTTTAACATGTCTGTGGTGATCTTGCTCTACCTGCTCGGGAACGAGCTCAGCAGACGGGTCTGGGGTAAGAGGAGTTACGTTTGCCATATCATACCAAAAAAGAAAGGTTTAAAAAAATAACAACAACAACAGAATCGAATCTGTCTCTTTGCTTAACTCTCTCTTTTGTCTCCTTTTCCAGAAAAGGACATGAACAAAAAGACAAGAGAAACAAATTAATTGAACCTTTCTCCCACATGGCCACATGGTTCTTTTTGAAGTGAAGCTATGCAAACAATCCATTCTTTCTCTTACTAAAAACAGTTTAAACCACAGGACAAAACACACCCTTGCCCAATGCGTTATACATTGTTCTGATTTGATGACTGGGTAATGATTGCGATAAAGACTGTATTCTTCTCCACTTGCGCTCCTTGTAGCACCAATTTAGCATTGGTGCAATGTTAAATAGCACCATTGAGACAGATTAGGCTACTTGCAACAAGCAGTACAGCCGTGGGTTACAAAGGTAACAATAAAGCAATTAGGATCCATGTTTAACATAACGCAGTTGTGTGCACCCCTGAGATATTCAGTGCAACATTTAAACTGAACATACTGCATGTTTTATCCTGTGATCATGAAAAATCTGCAGGGTGACGTGAGAATAACTTGTAATCCAAATAAGCATTGATTTGATGACATCACAAATCCTTCAAGATCTCCATGAAAGTCTGTTTTTGTATCCATCCGTCGCTCCAGATGAGCTCCTTGTTTCTTTTTCTTTCTTTTTTCCAAAGGAGATCAGGGACCACGCAAGTCCCTGTAGCCTTTTAGGTGATGGAGGTAGTTTGGATCCGCATCCACCAGTCCAACCGAAAGGATCTTTGCCAATAAATGCAAGTCATCGTCGCTCAGATCATTCTGTTGAAGAAATTGAAGTCAGATATTTTATCCAAACTATTCTCAGTAAGCTCAGCATTTAACTTTTGATTGCCACTTACCAACTTGTTGTTTGCAGAGGATTCTGGGAGCTGGGACTTTTGTGACTTGTTTCCCTGAAAATGATAAGAATCATTACACAGAGTTAGTCTTTGCTTCCTTGTTCCACCTCTATGCACTCTCTATAAATGTTTCTGTTTGCTTCGAACTTGATGTGAGCTACATTTAAAAAGAAAGAAAGAAAGAAAAATAAATAGCTGCTTACCTCTTTGAGTCCCGTTGAAAACCAATATATGACAAAGAGAAGACCAGCAATGATCTTAAGGCAAAACGAACAGCAGTCAGTATCACACAGGTTACAGTCACCACTAGAAAACAAAATCTTTGAAAAATGAACTTACTTACAGCTAAAAGACTTAAAATAATATATAAAGAGGACTGCACTTACTCCGATCAAGTACAACATGTTTGCTTCTGTTGTGTCTGCCCTGTTTGTGCTCTGATTCGTAACCTAAGGAGAAATAAAGAGGTTCCTTCTTCTCCGAGACATCAGACCACAATGCGTAAGACAGGAGAGGAAAACTCCCATAGAAGAACCAGCCGTACAGGATAGACTGCATATTCACCAAACAGGTTATCTTATGCCTGAATGAAGTCAGTCATGAGATAAATGTGCGGTTACGCAAACAACTGCGTAAAATAGGCGGATTTGTGTGTGATAAGAGCTATCATTAGCTGTAAGTCTTAACGCAGGTTAAGATGATCTCACCAGTGACACCTAAAAACAACAGATGTCAAAGAGTGACAACCTGCCTGTCATCCGCTCTGTCATATATTTACGCATTGGAAACTCTTGGAAAAGTTTAACTAAACTGCCTCCTCCTCCTTCACCGGCAATGCACTGAAATAATATCTACTGTATGTTTATCATACTTTCAAAGTATGCAAAAACCTGTTTTTGACTCAGCCTGTCCCCAGTTTCGTGCAATCAGTAGTCGATTTTAAAATGCAGATCAGATAGCATTGTTTGTTTTCAGTACAAGCTCAGTTTCATTTTAAAGAGATTTGAATGAGAGATGCATACATATGGCTTCTTCTTTGTATGATATAACCTGTATTAATGGTGAACTGTGTTCACAGATAGTATTTTCTGGAAGTGTTCCTGCCTCCATGCATTGATTTCCATGACACAATAATGCCTGTTTTTAATGCCTGTGTTTCCTGAGGGCCCAAAGGCCAGAGGCTGTCCAGTATTGTCCCATGAATACAAAGATTTCTCCACATTCTCTGATTCTTTTGATGATACTGTATGATGTAAAATCGTTCCAGCATTTTGTTGTCCCAATCCCAGCTTTTTTGAGACATGTTTTTGCCATCAAATTTAAAATGAGATAATATTTTTTGTGAAATATTAAAATGTCTCTGTTTAAACATGTGACGAGTATAAAATATGGGTTTGACAGCTTTGCAAATCGTTGCATTTTGTTTGCATTTACATTTTACACAAATGCAAATAAACATTTTCATATTTTATGTGTAGTATATTGCAGTATAAAAGAAATTAGATAACACAAAAAGAGACAGACAGACTGATAAATGGCATTGTGCACCAGCAGATGGAGTTTGAATGATATGAATCTATCTGACTTTTCATCTCCTTTTAAACCATTCAGTCAAACAAAAGTTTGGTCTGAAACCTAGCTGTGTTCGCCGGATTTTGAATGAACAGATGTGGATCTCTGTTACAGAAGCTTACTGTACATCAAGGAAATGTCCAATCTATTTTTAACTGGTGCAAAAAGCTCTTTTAAAACCAGATGATAAAAAAGAGAATTACATTGATTTGATGTCCTCATTAGCTGCATTGCTGTTTTCATTATTTTAAAATATATACATATTTGAGTCTCTTAATGCCTACTTTTTTAATATGTTTGTTGAGTTTACCTTGTATTTAAAGTTACATTTTCTCTTCTTCTCGTATTTTATCTTATCTTAATGAAGGTGACACAGTCTATTTGTTTGTTTGTTGAATCGGAGTAAGTGAGTTTGCTCTCCACCAGGGGGAGCCCGGTGGTTGTGAACCAGCTCAAGTTGGCGAACATGGTTTTGGAAAAAGACACGACACCGGTAGAAGTTCGAGATTCTTCTAGTATACTTACAGCCTGATTACATAAGATGAACAAAACTACAGGTAAATAAAATATCTGCGATTAGAATGCAGATATAACACTTTTTTATAACGCCTCACATTTAATCACATACATCTGCAACTTATAGTCACATTCAAAATGTGCTTGTATTATATATTTATATGTACTTACATATTAATTAACATTTAATCTTGAATACCGTTATATGTGTTGTTATTTCGAATGTATTCATTTGTGGACTTTTCTTTTGCTAGTTCATACTACGCACTTCAGTAGTAGTCTTTCGCGCTTTCACTTTCCTTCTTTTACTTACTAATTAATAACAAATAAATGCCGTGTGTGCGCTGTATGAACGCGAAACATTCAAGAAAAAGAAAACGGGGAGGTCTGTGTGTGTGTGTGTGTGTGTGTGTGCATGTGTGTGTATGAATATGGAGTTCGGGGACTAGGAGAGTAACCTCCGTGTTTTCATAACTAGGTAAAGGTAGTACAGCGCAGCCGGTATACGCATGCGCGGATGCGCTCGCTCTAGAACATTTCGGCAGCTTCGCGACATTTCTTCACGTCCCTGAAGGAAAATGCGTGAAAACGCTGTTAATACTTCCGGTATTGTAAGCTGCCTTCAAATTAAGCCTTACAGCGTTTATGTGTAGAGCTTCTCTACGCGTCTTTCAGAGAAGTATTCAAATCTCCTTGACCGTGTTTTGGACATTTCGGGACTCTTATGTATATATTTTAACTATCTTGTACTCTTCTCCACTCTGCTATTATAAAAACACTTTTATTTCTAAAAGGACATAACGGACATCCAGAGTTTGAGACGACTGCTTTAATGTAACCACTCCGATGCTCTGTCAACAACTGCTGTACGGCCAAGAAACGCGTTAAGTAGGGTTTTACCTGGGAGTTGTCTTTGGACAGCAGCGTGCTGTAATGTGTGTTTTTAACAGTCGGACTAACTAACGAACAAGGCACTGGCAGATCATAAACTTGTCGGGTCTGGTGGCTTTGGTAAGATTTGCTCTTGGCTCTAACATAAGAGACACCTGGCTGTAAGTTGTTAAACTTGTGTTTTTAGCGGAACAGTAAAGAATAGCGGGGCTTTAAGTTCAGATACTCAGCTGTGAAGTCACTTCAGGTTTCTGAATGAACTCTTAAGTACGTTATGTTCCAAACACAGACATAAAGTCTTTGGGTCTGACAAACGTTAGCTTGCTATATCAGGACTGTCTGTATAAGTCAGCCATGTACCACGTGCCGAGTGCTTAAACATATATGTTTCTTAAAATAATTTCCAATCGCACTATGATAATTTTAAGTACTGTCCTTAAGTTGGTCAAGTGCCATCAGTCTGAAATGATCTACCTCGCCTGTATTCGTCAAGGTGCATGCTAGCGTGTGCTAACATTACGGACAAGAGTTATACTTCCGCTTACAATATTATAAATGCATACATTTGTGACCCAGAAAGAAATGTGTAAGTTTATTAATTATGTTTATGAGAGTGTAAATCGTAGGGGTACATACAGTTATTGGCAATACTGGTATTTAAACACGTTTTGGCATGTGCTTTAATTTGTAAACCCAGCCGCCCGCGACGGAAGTGGTGTTATTTGACGATTTTAGCAACCCTAACGGAACTCACCCAACACCGTTAACTGTAGCTTACTAGGCTAATCTGTTTACATGGTCAGTTTAGACTGCAACGTACTAGTGCTCTCGCTATATATACACACACATATATATATGTAGGTGTACGATCCTGAAGTCATGACTTAATCTGACCGCAGGCTTGCGTCTGTTTCATGTGGCGATGATGTTGTTTTGCCTCTTTCGGCTTTGCTAGGTGATACCAGCTAGATTACACCTTGCAAATGAAACGGGGGATATGTGACTATACTCTGGAAGGTTATATTAGCCCAAGTGTCTTCTTCACAGAGCCTGAGATCCTGCTTTTGCGTGCAGCTAAAGGGAGAACTACAATGCTGTGCTGGGGAAATGCTTCCTATGGACAACTGGGCTTGGGTGGGATTGATGAAGAGATTGTGGTTGAGCCAAGAAAATGTGAATTCTTTCACGGGAAGCAAGTGAGTGATGTGGGGTGTGGCCGCAGACACACAGCTTTCCTGCTGGAGGACGGGACGGTGTATACCTGTGGCTGCAATGATCTTGGGCAGCTTGGACATGAGAAAGCCAGAAAGAAACCCGGTTGGTGATGTCTGCTGTTTGTTTGTTTGCTTGTTTTTCTAATAAAACATTGGGGTTTTTTGTTTTGTTTTTTAAAGTTGCTCACTGTGCAAGCACTTGTTTATGTCATCTATTAGAGCAAGTTGTGGCCTTGGATGCACAGATCATAGTGGCTGTATCATGTGGAGAGGCCCATACACTCGCCCTAAATGACAAAGGACAGGTTTTCTCGTGGGGTCTTGGTTCAGATGGACAGCTGGGATTAAATAACTTTGAAGAATGTGTTCGCGTGCCTAGGTAAATTCATCAACTATCAGGAAACCCCTGTGTGTCCTACTTAACGCACTACTTGCTCATCCTTTGTTTTGTAAAGGCACCATGAAAAGACCTAATATAGCCATTCTTCTCTCTCTCTTTTTCCTCTGTATGAAAAGAAACATCAAGACTTTGTCAGATGTTCAAATTGCTCAGGTAGCCTGTGGGTACTGGCACTCCCATGCACTTTCAAAGGGTGAGGAATGGTTTGCACTTAGCACATATCCAGAGCAGCTTACAGTGTTTATGTCATGTTAAGCTGTTTCAATTATATATGCGTTTTTAACACAGGGGGCCACATCTTCTCATGGGGCCAGAATCGATATGGCCAACTTGGGTTAGGAATCAACGGACAGAGCATTTCCACACCCCAGATGATTCAGTCTCTGCAGGGCATTCCTTTTGCTCAAATATCAGCAGGTGGAGCACATAGCTTTGCCCTCACTCCCTCGGGAGCTGTGTTCGGTTGGGGGCGCAACAATTTCGGTCAGCTTGGTCTCAACGACTGCAACGGTGAGTGGTAGAAGGTTAGAAGGTGCCGGTGTACATTCAAACCCGAAACTTTGACTAATTTTCAGGACGTCTTTTTCAGATCGGTATTTCCCGGCCCTCCTGAAGTCCCTCAGATCACAGAGAGTGATTTACATTTGCTGTGGAGAAGATCACACGGCTGCACTGACCAAGTTAAGTTGCATACTTTTTGGTTCTTTGATAGATCTGCAGCGTTGTGTGTACAGAAGACCGAAATTTGAAACTGTGGGATTAATGATTAGATTTAAAAGTGGCTCTTTTAAATCTAATTAATGGTTTTAATTCTTAGGCTTAAAATCATTAAACTGGGCCTTGGACTTTTACTGGGATTTACTCCCATGCTGGGTTATGCTTTCTTTACCTTCTTCCTAATTCATTGCTGTTGTTGTTGTTGTTGTTTTTAATCTGCCAGTGTATATGTGTTACATTTTCTTAACTGATCCCAAACAGCAGCCAAGCAGGATTACAGATGCATCACTTGTCACAGTCAGTGTGTTGTGTCCTCGCTCTCCAGTTTGCATACTGCTCAGAGACAGCTGCTGCCAAGCGACCAGTTAGAAAACATCCCAGTATCACTGCAGTACATTAAATCTGCCATACATTAAGATTTCAGTGTTTTGCTTTGTCACACAGATGTTTAAAAGCTCTCCTTTAGAAAAATATTAAGCTGTTGTCAGATGAACAAACTGTTCAGCACCCACGGGTGCTGTAGGTGCAGTTTCTGGGTTCCTCTACTGCTTAAAACGAGCTTTCTTTCTTTCTTCTTTTTTTATATTCCTTAGCTCCCCTCCCATTTAGCCAAGTGTCTTCTGATTGGCTGCCCCTCATACCGAAGGCTTGACTAACACATCAGTGTGGCTTCACGGCCAAAGCTATACGCCTGAGATGACTATATTAGGGATGTCTGCACTCACTGACATCATGCTGATATAGAATAAACTGCCTGAAACTGCCTGAGCATTTGGCTCACTGGGATTACTTGCGCACATACTGAGCTCATTATTTGATGCTGCAGGCATTTCGTCTGAGCACCCTCCATTGTAACAGTTTATATCAGAGTCAGAATACTTTTATAATGACAGGGGGAAATTGCTTTGTCACAGACTCTCAAGCAAATGATATGAAAGGTAGAAAATGGAAAGAAATCATAAAAAAATGTAAACCATCCTTATAAAACTAAGATGCTCCACCAATGGTGAATTATGTTAAAATAAATACTCCAAAGTTAAACAATAGTATGTACAATATAAAGAAAATATGAGAAGTAAAAATAGTCCAGGTGTCATAAGGGGAAGATATGAAGTTTGATCATCGCAGTTATAAATCATTTCCTGTGGCGTTTTAGTGCAGTGAGGTTTTGCTCCTGTTACTGTCCTGCAAGTCATGGAATGAACGTGAAGGATTGTCGGCTATCATCTGACATCTGCTGTCAGAGTCGAGCTCTGCACCTATAATACTGGCCTTGTGGATCGGTTTGAGTCTGCTGGTATCATGCTGCCCCAGCCCACCACAGCATAGAGGATGGCAGTGGCCATTACAGACTCAAAACATCCTGGGTCATCCATTAGATTTTAAAGGAATCATCCAAGAAAATAGAGATGACTCTTCTTGTAGAGGGCCTGAACACTGAGGTATTTTTATCCTGTCTGCACCCAAACCACATGGATGGAAATAGGGGTGACCAGCATTCTAACCCTTCTCACATCCACAACCCCCATGCTCTTCCTCATCACCTTGTGTGATACATCACTACTGCAGAGTCATTAGAAACCTGTGAAGGTGGCAGGTGTCTGTGCAGTGCTGAAGGCTGTGGTGTACATGGTGAAGGGAAAGGGAGAGAGGACAGTCCCCTGCTGGGCTTCGGTGTTGCTGTCCAACATGGTGCTGCAGGTGGTTTGCAGATCAGTGAGCCAACTATCCAGGTCACTGCCAAGGCATCCACCCAGCAGAGCCGAGCTGGTGGTGGTGAACACACTGGAGAAATCAAAACATGACCCTCACAGCGCTGGGTGGATGTAGGCCCTGTTGAGCAGGTCAAGGACTGGAAGGGATCTGACCATGTGCTGGAAGCTGGTCCAGGATAAGTCTCTTCAGGGTCTTCATGAGGTGTGATGTCAACATGTTTTGGTACAAGTACGAGGTGTGACCTCTTCTACACAGGGAAAAGCATTATACGTTTTCAGTGGGTAATCATGCTCATCATGTAGTCTTCTTTTATGAATAGTCTTCAGTAATTAGGCTCATAAGTAATGCCATTTCTGCGTTTACTTCTAATTTTTAGAAAAGAATAGATGAGTTGGGATCGTTATTTAGAACCTGGAATGTTTTTTGGTTTGTTAAATAGTGAAGTTTTAAATCTTCTCGAGCGGTGGATAAAAATGCCCATTTCCTGTCCAGGTGCCCAGACGCAGTAAGTTTGTTTCAGTAGTGGCCTGACGCTGTAGAGGAGGAGGACCCCTGCTGTAAGACTTGGGTGTTAAAATAATCCCCCTCCTGGCATGTGCCATTACTAATCTAGCTGTTTCTGGTTAAGGAAAAACTAGACTGAAATCATTAACACGACAGCTGTCTTTCATGCCTCTCTGTCTCTTCAAGCCTCATGTTCAGTGGTCTTTGCTAACACTTTGGCCTTAGCAAGTTAGCACAGTGCTAACCCTTTTGAAGGTCGGAATAATTGGTTCTGTTGTTTTTAAATGCAGGAAGGGGGCGTGTTCACATTTGGAGCAGGAGGATATGGACAGCTTGGGCATAACTCTACAAATCATGAAATAAACCCCAGAAAAGTGTTTGAGCTCATGGGAAATGTAGTCACACAGATTGCATGTGGAAGGTAAAATCGACTTTGTTTTTGCGCGTTTATCTAAAATACAACGTCAGTGAATTATACTGAAAAGTCACAAGGCTGCTAGTAACGTTTCAAATTGCTGTGCGGTCAAGGCAACACACGCTGGCTTTCACGCCGTCATCGGGGAAGATGGATTCATTTGGGCTCGGAGGGAACGGGCAGCTTGGCACACGGTCCACTTCCAACAGAAAAAGCCCTGCTCTTGTTAAAGGTCCCTGGGTAGTCGCCAGCACTGCAACAGATACAGGTGAGGGGACAGCAAATGTAAAACCAAAACATCCTTCCATTTTTGAGGGGTGTAAAGTTTGAATCATAAGCAGTCAAATGTATTAATCGATAGGGTTCTCCATTTACGTTTTCTCTGACTACGTTTTCTATAATTCTGCTGTGTATCCATCTGAACGTGGAGATTTATTAGCTTTAATCTGAAGTTGTAAAAGCACATTACATAATTAGTTTGATGGGTTTATTTCAAACGTAAAACTCGATGGTAAGATGTTTTAATAACACAAAAAACCTATTTTCCCTCACTTTTGCAGATTCAGAGGAGAACTGTTGTGTCAAACGGATTTATGCTGGAGGAGATCAAAGCTTTGCTCACTATTGCAGTGCCAACGTAAGTTTTCCCTCTCCTCTGAAACAGAGATTTCATGGAGATGCTTACAAATGTACAGCACGTTTTAATAATTGCACAGCTGTCCTGAATGCTATCGTTTTTACTCTACAGTAAAAACAATGGTACTGGCAGTACTCGATAATAGTGAGCAGCTGAACAACAGTGATTTGAACTAAAGCATTATTATCACTGCTGGGGAGTGAGAGCAATGTCAGGCAGATGAGCTGAGATTGTAAATATTTCCAGACACAACCTGTAATTATCTGGAATTTAAAAAAAAATCTTAGCACGTGGGTTCGCGTGTAATTTTATACCACAGCGTTGTTTGACAACGTCACCATTCACATGAGTTAAAGAAGGCGAAACGTACCAGTAAAACCATAAGAAATTTGAAAAATAAGAAAATGACTTCAAGTTAAAATCTTGTAATTAAAGTTTTCGAATTCCAGGAAACAGAATTGCGTTTGTCAATCTAATTAAAGCAGACTGCTCCAGCTGATCCCCGACAGTCAATGCAAGCTGGTGTTGGTTTTAAAACACGTTGCCATGTAGCGTATGATGATTTTTCAAGCAGAATTTAATTTGTAATGAGGATGTGTGTCACTTTTTTTCTTTTCTTAGAAGCACCTTCTTCTAAAATGTGCCGCAGATAGCTGTGAATACTGTTTTTACACACATCTGATCTGTTTCTTCACTCAGTTTTATTTACACAGGTTTACATTTTTCAGGGTTTTTTTGTCTAACTTTTATACTTTTTGGTGCAGAGCCTTCAGAACGGAGATGACACAAGGATACAAGATCCCCAGAGAAAGATTTACTCCTTGAATGAGGATCTCATACAAAAATGGTTGAACCACTCACAAGGAAGACTCCCGCTCGACATCTCCAAGTAAAGTTTTCTTCTTCTTTTTTTCCCCCTCAGTAGATCCTCGGCATATTGGAGTTTTAGTTTGTTTTAGACATGGTGTGTTTGAGTAGAATCAAATTACCAGATCCTTTTTGGAGATTTACACAGTAATTATTTGCCTTTTCTGGTTTCCTTAGTGAGATCGACCTCGTGTTCTCCTCAGCAAGCTGCCTAAATGGGTCTTTCCTGTCAATGAGGTAAATGCACTCCAGATATTTCAAAAGTCATAATCTAGTCAGAAAAATCATTTTGACTGATTTACTTTAAAATCAACACTTTTTTTTTGCTGACTTTCTTGTTTATTTACTCTCTAATTAGATAATTAAAGCTTTCTTAAGCTGCTCCCGTCATATGAGCCAGGTGAATGCACGAGTTTGGTAGGCTATATAAAAACATGAAATTGAGATGGCCACAGTTTTAGCCATGAAAGCAGGAAGCTCAACGATAACAACATTCAGTACTGACACTTGTCTGCTGTCATGGTAAATCTAGAGCTTGTTCTGTTGTCACCGCTTTGACCAGATAAAAAGCGTGCTCTCCTGGGTTGAGATCAGATTCTGATTTGGCCACTGAAGCATATCCTGTTTCTTTGCTTTGAGAAACCTTTGGGCTGCTTTTGAAGTGTGCTTCAGCTCATTAACCATCTGCACTCTGAAGCACTGTCCGATCAGTTTAGAACTTTAGATTAATATATATTATTATATATATATATACATAATATAACAATACATAATATATATATATATATAGATGTATTGTTATAGTTATTGCCTAGCGTTTTTGTAATTATCTCATTCTGAGTGCTGATTTTGTTTTTTCCTTCTTTTTTATAAACGCAGTCATCCAGATCACTACAGTACCAGCAGTAAATGTTCAGGGGTGGATATGAACATGGCTCGCCTGCTCTTCAACAAAGTAATCCAAGAGGGTCACCCTGAGATTGCTCAGCAGGTCAGTGGCCACATATAATATAGTTCCATCCACCCATCCATCTCCTTTTACTTGTTCAATTCAAGGTCTTGGAGGGGACTAAATTCTGGATTCTTCACTGTAATTCAAAACTGCATTCTGTGTCGTGTCAGTGCCATGCCAAATACTTGGGCACTAATATATTTTCTCTGACTGGTGAAGTTCCTCTGACTTGGAGTTTCTTTTTCATTCCTCATACTCTTCAACAGTGTTTATGACCTTTGCTCATCTGCTGTCTTGTCAACGACGTTCATATTATTTTGATTTGGTACCTGACCAGAAGATGTTTTTATAGTGTAAATGTCCCCAGTGACGTTTTATTACTGTGTCGGCTCCAGTTATTTCCGGTACTCTGGTCCATTCAGTGTGTTATTGTTGCACTTTACCCCACACCTCATCAGCAGTTTGTATGCATTCAGGATTATCACATTAATCATAACAGACCTGTTTCCCTTCGTCTGTCTGCCTCAGATTGCTGCTAGTCTGGAGAAGAACCTCATTCCCAGGCTAAACAATTCTCCTCCAGACATCGAAGCCCTGAGACTCTACCTCACTCTTCCAGAATGCCCTCTCTTCACTAACCGAAATAACTACGTCACCATCTCTATCCCATTTGCCAAATCAGTCATCAGCCTAAAAGAGGCTCCACTGAAGGTACTAGGTAGGTAGGAGTTTCTTTAAGCTTTCCATACTACATATGTACTACATACTATACTTAAGACCTTATTGTTCAGGAAAATAAGGTCTTAAAATAGTTTATATTTGTCATAAATCTTATGCAGGAATTAAATTCCAGATGGTGTAGTTAGGACTGGGAAAAATGAGCACTTTACACTGTCTTAAAAGGGTTTTGAGGAGCACAAATTTAGTGTTTGCTCATGTATTTGCAGGAAACTGGTGGTCTACGTTTGAGTCCCCAGTCTTCCAGCGGCTAGTTGAACTGTACAAGGAAGTGGTGGTGTATCTGCTGCAGATGCACAAGGTGGGCATTCCCGCAGTAGAGCAGAGAATTTTCACCTGTTTTCTGGACACGTCGCTGCGACTCCTGGAAATCCTACACAAGGTGAGGAAAAAGGTGCAGTGTTAAATTCCTGCTGCACATTATATCCTTCTTTAAAGGACTACAAGTGGCAGTCTCTCCCACTTCTTGCTTCAGGTGAGCGAGAAAGCGGGACACATCATTCAGTATGGCAAGTTCTACATTCATGAGTTGGACAACCTGATAGACATCCGAAATGACTATGTCACATGGCTTCAGAGGCAGATGTACCCAATGGTGAGTCTGCTGTGGATGTTGGCTCTGCGATTCAGTAATACATCTTTCTATGTTAAGGTTTTGATGTGAACTTTTTGTTTATGCTCTATCCCCAGGGACATGATGGTGTGGTGACTCTGTGCAAGTATCCCTTTGTATTTGATGCCCAAGCAAAGACTACACTCCTTCAGACAGATGCTGTCTTACAGATGCAGGTACTACTCACTAAACCTCTTAAAGGCAGTTTCTTACCTTTATTCTCACTAATCGCTTCATAATCATGTGTTTTCTGTATTAACAGATGGCAGTGGACCAGGCACAGATGCAAAATTTCAGCTCCATGTTCCTACCGGCTGTGGAATCCGTCAACCCGTGCCTCATCCTCATCGTTCGCAGGGAAAACATTGTTGGAGACACTATGGAAGTGCTCAGGAAGTCTAAGAATGTTGACTATAAGAAGCCACTAAAGGTAGAAACAGCATTTAAGTTTGAAGCTTTAAAAAAAAGAAGCAGCATAACCCAAACCTGATTTAAATTTGGCCACCATTTCCATTCCAGTCATGTTCTTGTAAACTCTGGATCCCTTCCAGTACTTGTGCTATTATTGGATCGTTTCCAGGAAGTCCCGTTCTGACAACATGCACATGTGCGTGTGTGATTTCAACATGGACCTCCTTGCAGTCTACAACGACACCACTAACTCAGGGAGGAAACATCATACAGCTAAGAGCTAGAGAGTGTAAAAAAGGCACTCTTCAGGTTTATGAGTCCACAACGTCCAAACGTAGCATCAACATTAGGTCACAAGCTTGACTTAAAGCATGCTAGGCCTTTTTTTTACAGTGTTGCGAATGGTAAATCCGTTCTTAAGGTTCAAAACTGTAGATTCTGTCTCAACTCCTCACAATTTCGACACAGAAGTGGTGATCCAGCGAGCACACAGAGTGGTGCAAGTGGTTGGAACAGGATTTCCAGGTAGCGATCGCTAAGTATCGCAGGAGCCGTGGTCTTGACAACGAAGACAACTGAACGAGCTAACAGCCAAATTTAAATCAAGTACACTTAGGATGAAGTTCCTAGTTATGAATGAAAATACATATATGAATGTGAAAGATGCTGCTCATGGTAATGAACCCACAGAGTATGCCAGGTTCAAACGGTACTGTGACTTACTTGTGATGTTTGTGGCAGGTGATCTTTGTGGGAGAAGAGGCCGTCGATGCAGGCGGCGTGAGAAAGGAGTTCTTCCTTCTGATCATGAAAGAGCTGCTTGATCCCAAATACGGAATGTTTCGTTACTACGAGGAGTCTCGCCTCATCTGGTTTTCAAACAAGGTACTTGCTTTAAACCAGGCGGCATCTCCGCGTGATCTTTGTGAAAACCTTCCTCGATTAAATGCTGACAATCACCGACTGTCCCTTGCAGACATTTGAGGACATTGACTTGTTCAACCTCATCGGGGTCATCTGCGGTCTGGCCATCTACAATCTCACCATCGTTGAGCTCAACTTCCCCTTGGCCCTTTACAAGAAGCTTCTGAAGAAGAAGCCAACGCTAGAAGACCTGAAAGAGCTAATGCCAGATGTGGGAAGGTCAGATCAAGGAACAGTCACCTGAGGTTTCCATTTAATATGTTTATGAATGGTAGTTTACCTTGGCATTGTCTTAACGTCATCTAAACCTTTCAATGCCACAGTAATCACACAGGGAATTGTGTTCCTGTTCATCCAGGAGTCTGCAGCAGCTACTAGACTACACAGAAGATGACCTTGAGGAAACCTTCTGCTTGAATTTCACAGTAAGATGATTGACTATCAACATTTTCTGCTGTGGTTTAAGTAAGTTGTGTCATCCACCTATCATATGATTTTTATTTTTTATTTTTTCAGATCACAGAGGAAAACTACGGTGCCACAGAGGTTTTGGAGCTTGTACCAAATGGGGAAAACATTAACGTCAATATGTCAAACAGGTAAAGATTTTTTTTATTTATTTATTAAAGTTGTCCTGATATTTATCCATTAGCAGTTATCCACTAAGGGATTCATGAATATTTTGGACTGTTGTTGAAACATTCACGTTACTCTCATTTTTCTTACTTTCTTCTCCTCTAGGCAAGATTTCGTCAGTGCCTATGTAGACTATGTTTTCAACACATCGGTAGCTCCACTCTTCGAGTGCTTCTATTCAGGCTTCCACAAAGTGTGCGGTGGGAAAGTTTTAGAACTGTTCCAGCCAAACGAACTGCAAGCCATGGTTATCGGCAATACCAACTATGACTGGATGGAGCTTGAAAAGGTTTTGTATTAAATAGTGATTAGTAAAAATTGCATCTGGCCACGCAATGTGAAGAAAATATCTGCATAGCCTTTAGGACTATGAAAGATGTATTCTTCCTAGTGTCCAGCAGGGGGCGACTCCTCTAGCTGTATTGAAATTTCCTTATGTCCCACTTGATTTATTACCTCAGTAAACATTTTACGAATTTAGTTTATGGTCTTGTATGCTAGTTTAACATTCCATCTAATACAGTATAATCTTCATTTTGTGAATTAAGGAAACATTTGCCGGTATGGTGTGATTGGCAGGTTGCTGATGTAAGAGTGTGCAGTATCCTTGGTTTCTCAGTCAATACATCATTTAAAAGCCCCAGTGGCCACTGTGAATCTCACTTTTTAAAGTGAGCCTTGTACATTATAAGATGGATTATGAAAATCATTTTTGTTTATGCTCTTTTGCTCATAGACTACTGAGTACAAAGGGGAGTACTGGACAGACCACCCTACAATCAGGCTTTTCTGGGAGGTGTTTCACAATCTTCCATTGGAGAAGAAAAAACAGTTTCTCTGTAAGTGTTGCCCTAAACAGCAGAAAAGTTAATTTCATTAATTTTGTGTGAGTTTGCATGTTACATGCGGACCTTGAAGAGTGAAGAGAAACAAAAATCTTGTCTTTACAGTGTTCCTCACTGGAAGTGACCGCATCCCCATCTTGGGCATGAAAAGCTTGAAACTGGTGATCCAGCCTACTGGTGGAGGGGAGCATTACTTACCTGTCGCCCACACCTGCTTCAACCTGCTGGACCTGCCCAAGTACACAAGTCTAGAAATGCTCCGTGAGAAGCTGCTACAGGCTATAGATCACAATCAAGGCTTCAATCTTGCCTGATAGAACATAAAAATCCATGTTGAGACTGTTGATGGCAACCACATTCCCAGATGGTTTTTTGCAGACTTCTCAGTCTGGATGAGTCAAACACAAGTTGAAAAAAATAAAAATTAAAAAGGAGGCCACATGACACTAAAGGTGACTGAGATGAACGGCTGGACTTTCATGTTAATGTTGATTTTTTTTTTTTCCAGCTGCTTTCTTGCCATCAAAGTATTTGAAGCCCAATCCCACACAAGTTGATTCACATTTAATATTGCTCATGTAGATATGCTTTTATTCATGTTTGGATAGGACGAAGCAAACTACTGGTATATACAGCACAGGGGCATAAATAAACTGGCAAACTCCTGTAAAATACAGTGAAATTTTTCTAATGCTTAACACCTAATTTATTGTGACAGTGAGATGCTTCTATTATGTTTTTACTGGTTTAAAATGTAGTCAAACACCACAAAATACCACGTAATTCCACCCTCCCAAAAAATATAGAGAAAAATAAGACCTGATTCACATCTGACAAGGTGTCAACAGAAACATATTTTTTAAACTACACTCTAGCAGTATTTTCTGCATGGCTTTGTCATCAAAGTGACACCGTATTTTACAGGAGTTTGGGTTTTTTCATCCCCTGTTGCAAAAATTGTTAGCCAATGTAAATCTACTTTGTTTGACAAAGGTTCTCTTGTGACATTTGCTCGAGAGCAATGCGAAGTGTTTGCTATAGATGCTGAGTGGATTTTCTTGGCTGTTTGCCTTAACAATCCACAAATAAAAACAAAGTACAGCCACTGAAATAAATGGGTTACTTGCTGGTAAGGTTCGAAGTTCTTATGAAAGGTTGGTTATTTTTAATATAGTACCTTGTGTTTGAATATTGCTGTAGAAGGTATTTTTTAACAAAAAATATACCACATTTTGTTTTTAAAAGGGGTTAATTCTGCTTTTTGTTATTTTCTTTCAAATATGTTCTGATGATGGATGTTCTTATGACACCTGACCAGAGTTTCAGAGGAGGTGGTAAGTATAGGTATGTGTAATCCGTGTGCTTAGGCATCAGCGTCTTCCTACTCTTGGGTTTGTATGAAGTTACAAAGGGCAGATGTCATCTCGGGCACACAGCCATTTCCTATTCACATCCTGCAAGTGGAGGGGCTCATGAAAGCGGTAAAGACAGCCAAAGTAATTATTTACGCCAAAATCTAGACGGTAAATAATGGCGATTTTTTTAGATTTCACATTTACAATATCATCACTTCATTCTTCCAAAGAAGGTGATTTTTTTTCCCTATGATTGGCTAATTGTTGACACAATGACACATTTCTTCAAGGGCAACTGTTGAGGTGTCAGAAATGTAGTCGAATGCGCAATAGAAACCTTTGAGGGGCAGCCAATCAGAAATAAAGTTACCTTAAAGTCAGAGAGACAAAATCTGAGGGCCTGCATTAAGGAAAAATAATGATTTTTAATTGACAGTACAAAGCTGCTGTGATGGATTAAAATATGTTGGAAATCAGAATAATAGGTCCCCTTTAAAGTCCAGCTTATATAGTAAATTAACCTTTAATATTTTAACTGTGTCTGTTCTCTCATGAAAATACCCATCAACACATTCCACTTCAAGTCACAATTTAATCATAAACTGTACAAGTTGAATGATGTGCACACACTGCAGAATATGGCCTTAAAGAAGGCAAATACACTTGTCTGTTGTTGCCCAATTTGGGGGCTTTGTGTGTTAGTTTTGGTATCAGTGGGGCAACTCGTGATGGACAAGCTTATAGTGGGAACCACAGGAAGGACAGCGCTGGGCCTCTCCCTCATGAAGCCAGAACCACACAATAGCAGTGTTGTCTTCCTCACCTGCAAAGATTTTTAAAAAGTTATAATTAAAAAAGAAAAAGTTGTTAACACTGGTAAAACAGATTCATAAAGGGGAAATTGTATTCATTATGCATCACTTACAGAGACATCCCACCAGCCTCTTGGTTCCTATGCCTGGCACAATGTGAGGGTCTTCTTTGGTACCAGCATAGTGCTTTGGTTTCAGGATGCTGTAAGGGTCCTGTGATGTAAACGGGAAAAAGAAAAAAATTAGCTTATGTGCAGTTCAGGTTCATTATCATATGTATACAGTAGCCTACCTTTCCCTGTTTGAGGGCCTGGAGGGTACGGCGCTCCAGCCCAGTGGCCTGTTCTTCATCTGTTGGTATGCCTGAAAAATTAAATAGCAAAAAGGTTTCTATTAAAAAAATGAATAAATGATAATAATATATACAAATAATAAACAAAAAATCTGTATTTGATTCAGCTGCTTAAAAAAAATCAGTTTTATATTAAAAGCCTATAATAACTTGCTTAAATCTTACTTCTTGCATATGGCCTCCGCACACTAATAACTAAAAAGACTAAAACTAACACAGAAACCAACACGAAACGTCTTCTAAGAACAAAAACTAAACTAAATTAAAAAGAAAAGCTCAAAACGAAATAAAAATTATAACTAATTAGAAAATACAGAACTATAATAAACTCTGTAATGAGTGCGGGCAAGCCTGCACGTCAGCATTGGACGCCTCCCACAATAACACACTCCTGTCCCCTATCAGGGTGCTGGCACCTGCCCAACGGAGTCTGCCAAAGGAGGTGGGTCTATCAAAGGCCTTTCCACTCGCTAAAGTCCAAATGACCTTCATTTTTTTTTAAGGTGTACTTTATAGTCGTATTTAGGTAGGGACTTTGTGTATCTCAAAGCACTTAGGCCTCCCACAAATATGTTTTACTTCTTTAAATAAATATGTACACAGGTGTTTCTTTTTGATGTAAATAAAACACTGGCGGTAGCTAGCTAGCACGTACTGCAAACTCCTTGTTACTAACTTGTCAGCTACCAAACTAAACAATAAAGACGCCGCTAAAATTGCCAATATAACCAGCCTTTCGCTTTTCGCACTAAGTCGAGTGAGCGGTGACAGCTGTGGCTGTAACGCACTGCGGAGGCCTGTGAAGTCACGTCTCCTGTCGTAAATACGGAGTCCTACCTCTCACTGTGGCCATTGAACGGTGCAGCGGGGCCAGCACGCCGCTCCTCAGCTGCAGTGTTGTTGTACAAGCTCGGAGAAGAAGACGTCCCGCCATTATAGTGCCTTTTTCAAGTACAGTGAATGACCTGACTCTGCTATAAACCGGACTGAAATGACCCCACTACAACCGCCTGAGTGACGGGTGCGCGGGCCAATGAGCAGAAGCGCAGCTGATCCGACCAATCAGATTCAGCAGTGGGAGGCACGCTCTACAGGTGGTAAACACCGCTGTATACTTTATTATAGAAAAACGTAGTTTCATTTTTGTTATGTAAAAAAACAGCAACAACAACAACAACAAAAACCACTTTATGATAGCACCTGTTATTGTAGTTATTTAGTTTACATTTCCGTGCAATTACAAGGGAAGAAGGAACCATCAAACTCAAAAACCAAATGTACAAAACATACACGGGCATTTGAAATTGCAGTGCTCCCACGGACCTCAGACTTACACTTAAACAAACATAAAAGATAAAAATTAAAATCTTATGTACATAAGGTTTGCTCCCAACACACATAGGTGTTTACATCAGCGCTGTAATTTCCACTAATCAACTGAACAACTACTACTGTTATAACTTGCACATTATTTTTCTCAGTTTATATATACTGACATATTGGAAGTTACATTTACCTTTTGATGCACAGGTACAATGCACAATCTGTACATTTTGTAAATATTCTTAATTATTTAAACATCTTCCAGTACCCTGCTCTGTTTGCGCAATAAAACCTGGGTTTTCCACTTTCATCTGTACTTCAATCTTAATAACTGTACAGTACTCTGTTTTTGTATATTGTCCATGATGTAAATATGTGTTTCTGTAAAAAAAAAAAAAAAAAAAAAAAAAAAAAAAAATATATATATATATATATAATATATATATATATATATATAATATTATATTGTGTGTTTTTTTGTAGAGCAGAAGCAGGCAGCTCATTTGAGGGTGAAAACAAACTCAAACAAACTCAACAACCAGACGGTGTTTTTTGCTGCTGTTACAACCAAATTTCCCCTTGTGGGACAATTAAAGGATTTTTCTATTCTGTTCTATTTGTAAAAATGTGCTATATTTCCCTATGAGGTGTGGTATTTTAAATCCTTTTACCACTGTGCTCGAATAAATATAGACCAGCAGAAAGAAAGAGAAAAATGCTGACAGAGGTACTCTGCAGTGGAGAAAGAAGAAACTTGTTGAAACGTTGTTTCTTTTATTTTTCTCCTGTGATCCAGATGGAGGCGGTGATGGACCAACAAACATCAATACTCACATGCTGGCTCACATGGTGATGACAAAAAAAGGTGTTACAAGCTGTAAAAACGTGATGTGTGAGGATATATGAGGAGAAAGAGTATAAAAAGACTGGGTCCCGCTGTATTACTCAGGCTGCACTACAGCGTCTATTCACAGGCGCGATCCCACTACTGAGCGGCACGGGGGCTTTGACCTGCTCCGTTTCCGACCTGGGCCGGTGCACCCCTCCTTAGGCGACCTGGTGGTCCCGAGCTCCCCCAGGAGCACCATATCGATACCGAACTTAGTGCGGACACCCGATCGGCATAGTCCGCTGCAGCTCAGAGCTCCTGAGCTCAAACGATCCGCCAGCCTCAGCCTCCCGGTAGCTTGGATTACAGGCGCGCGCCACCGCACCCGGCAAGAGGCGCCCTCGTTTACGCAGACTTTAAGGTTTACACACGTGACGTCATCAGGAAACTGCTGCAGATAGCAGCCAACAGCAGCCGTAAAGGTGCTGCTCAACACACAGTCAACACACAGTTTCTCATTTAAAATGTCTAGGTTTTAATAAATACAACCGAATCTTACAACCAAAGTGGTCATCTCATGTAAAAATATATAAAAATTCATTCTTGTATATCGTAAATATTAAGTCTAATATATGCCCTAATAAGCTGTAGTACTTTTTCCTTTGGGAAGGTACCATGTGTGCAGTCTGCAATTCTGCTGCGGAAAGATGTTGAATCTATTTATTTACTGTAGAAAAATAATTGGTTTCTGTGCATTTGTTTTACCCTGGCAATAAATTAAAGTCGATTACGTTGATTAAGCATGATTAGGCGGAGGGTGGGGGGCGGTTCCCTATTTTTGCTGGGAGTTGGCAACTCTGCTAGTTAGGTATATGTAATTATTGATTAGGTTGTTTGATATTTCTGGTAAGTACTGTTTAAAATACCAGAATAGGGAGGATGGTGTATTAGTTTAAAGGGATGGTGGGGTTTTTTTTTTCATCATTAAATCGTTATAAATACTATCTACACCAGTATCTGACATAAGAGATATACATTCAACAAGAAGGTAACACTGTCACAACAGCGTTTGTTTTCATTCAAGGCTTTATGGCTTTTCCTATAATTCCTGGTGGGCTGTTCTCTAGTCAAAATGCCCGGGCTGATTTTTTTGTCCCAGTCCAGTCCTGCTTGTTCATCAAAGTCAATCACTGAAAGAAAAAAAAAGTTCACCGTCTCTTTGAATTTGCAGTGATGGTCATTGCTACTCCCCTCCAGTTGGAGGCGCTGTTGGACCAAGAAACAGCGGTGGTTTTCAATGGAACGAGAGGACAGAGAGACCGTGTTTGACGCTTTTATAAGCTGTAAAAACGTGATGTGTAGTGTGTGTATATTTCTGTGGAGAGGAGAAAGAGTATAAAAAGACTGGGTCCCGCTGTATTACTCAGGCTGCACTACAGCGTCTATTCACAGGCGCGATCCCACTACTGAGCGGCACGGGGGCTTTGACCTGCTCCGTTTCCGACCTGGGCCGGTGCACCCCTCCTTAGGCGACCTGGTGGTCCCGAGCTCCCCCAGGAGCACCATATCGATACCGAACTTAGTGCGGACACCCGATCGGCATAGTCCGCTGCAGCTCAGAGCTCCTGAGCTCAAACGATCCGCCAGCCTCAGCCTCCCGGTAGCTTGGATTACAGGCGCGCGCCACCGCACCCGGCAAGAGGCGCCCTCGTTTACGCAGACTTTAAGGTTTACACACGTGACGTCATCAGGAAACTGCTGCAGATAGCAGCCAACAGCAGCCGTAAAGGTGCTGCTCAACACACAGTCAACACACAGTTTCTCATTTAAAATGTCTAGGTTTTAATAAATACAACCGAATCTTACAACCAAAGTGGTCATCTCATGTAAAAATATATAAAAATTCATTCTTGTATATCGTAAATATTAAGTCTAATATATGCCCTAATAAGCTGTAGTACTTTTTCCTTTGGGAAGGTACCATGTGTGCAGTCTGCAATTCTGCTGCGGAAAGATGTTGAATCTATTTATTTACTGTAGAAAAATAATTGGTTTCTGTGCATTTGTTTTACCCTGGCAATAAATTAAAGTCGATTACGTTGATTAAGCATGATTAGGCGGAGGGTGGGGGGCGGTTCCCTATTTTTGCTGGGAGTTGGCAACTCTGCTAGTTAGGTATATGTAATTATTGATTAGGTTGTTTGATATTTCCGGTAAGTACTGTTTAAAATACCAGAATAGGGAGGATGGTGTAGGTTTAAGTTTATTAGATTGATACATATATACCAACAGGACAGCGTACATCACTGTCACAACAGCATTTGTTTTCATTCAGAGGCTTTATGGCTTTTCCTATAATTCCTGGTGGGCTGTTCTCTAGTCAAAATGCCCGGGCTGATTTTTTTGTCCCAGTCCAGTCCTGCTTGTTCATCAAAGTCAATCACTGAAAGAAAAAAAAAAGTTCACCGTCTCTTTGAATTTGCAGTGATGGTCATTGCTACTCCCCTCCAGTTGGAGGCGCTGTTGGACCAAGAAACAGCGGTGGTTTTCAATGGAACGAGAGGACAGAGAGACCGTGTTTGACGCTTTTATAAGCTGTAAAAACGTGATGTGTGAGTGTGTGTATATTTCTGTGGAGAGGAGAAAGAGTATAAAAAGACTGGGTCCCGCTGTATTACTCAGGCTGCACTACAGCGTCTATTCACAGGCGCGATCCCACTACTGAGCGGCACGGGGGCTTTGACCTGCTCCGTTTCCGACCTGGGCCGGTGCACCCCTCCTTAGGCGACCTGGTGGTCCCGAGCTCCCCCAGGAGCACCATATCGATACCGAACTTAGTGCGGACACCCGATCGGCATAGTCCGCTGCAGCTCAGAGCTCCTGAGCTCAAACGATCCGCCAGCCTCAGCCTCCCGGTAGCTTGGATTACAGGCGCGCGCCACCGCACCCGGCGAGAAACAGAAGTGCTCTTCGGGCTTTTATCTTTCACAAAAGTGACGTCACGAATAACACAGCGACATCAAGCGGTGAAAACCGGGTACTTTTATAAAAGGTCTGCACACCGCTTCCTTTGGTTCTTTTAAGTCCTCTTTAGGAACGTTAGTAAGTCGTTCCCTGAAAAAACAAAAGGTTCCTCGGATAGCCAATTAGAAGGATTCATTGAATGTGAAAGACTCCAGGAAATATTATTTCTTTTTTCTTTCTAAATTTCCAGCACTATTAAAACCCCATTGTTTATTCCACATATCTATGTACATGAGCAAATTGTCTATGTACTCTGTAATAGGCCAATAAATCATAGTAATTTAGCCGTTTATTACTTGGTATTGACATAACTTTTTCCATAAAATGTAACCTTCTTTATAAAGCAAAATAAGCTCAAGCCTAGCCTATGAACTGGAAACTGGAGTGATTATTTAACACATCTTGATAACTTGGATTAACTCACCAGTAGATAACCACCAGTAAATATGACAGCATTCGGAAACTTTTTTTTTTATTGTTTAGATTTTAATATATTTCCTCTTCTTTGCTTACAGTCCGCTACATGAATAATAGTCAGTGATACAAATAAAAGAAGGTCACTTGCATTACAAGCATTGGGTTGTCATGCCATTATTTTATTTATGATGAAATGTCTCATAAATACACTCACCAGTCACTCAGTAATGAAAATATCATCACCTAATCACATGGCAGAATCTCAGAGTATTTAGGCATATAGAAATTTACTTGCTGACTGGATCTGATAGGAAAGCAACACTAACTCAAATAATAACTCATCACAACCAAGGTTTGCAGAAGAACATCCATGAATGCACATTGTGTCAAACCTTAAACCAGATAGGCTACAGCAGCAGAAGACCACACCGGGTCCCACTCCTGTCAGCCAAGAACAAGAAACTAAGACACTGCAAAATCTGCCAGATTTGGACAACAAGGGCTTGGAAAAATGTTGCTTGGTCTAATGAGTCGATTTCTGCTAAGACATTTGAATTGTAGGGTTAGAACTTGGTGTAAACAACATGAAAGCATGGGCGGATTGTGGAAGAGACTGTGTCAGCAAGTTCCCTTAAAAGGTTTGTGCTCAAAGCTAAATCTGTGTTACAGAAACTCAGCCTTTGTGTTTTTCATTATAGGAACAAAAAAATTCTGTAGCCTGCTATTTTTAACAGCTACTTTTATAGGTAATCTTAATTTTTTTTTATTATTGTTTATTTTATTTGCGATATTTAACTATATTTATATTAGCTATATTAGCTTTAAAGATTTGAAACCTCTGTTCACTTCATATGTTTTGCTACTGAACATTTAAAATATATTTCTTCTGACCGTGCAGTTAAAACAAACTAAACAATAAGTGATTTCCTATCTTTACAAAATAACATATTATATTTAGCTATAGACCACATGTTGTGACTTCCTTCTGATAAAGGGTGAACATGCTGTACTAAAGCACAATTGTGGAAAACTTAAGGTTTCAATTCAAAGAATTAGTTTGGCCTCAAACAAAGCTGAAGAAGTCAAAGAATAATACTAATACAAACACAATACATTACAGCAAACAATAATATCACGCACAATCATGCCTCCACTGTATGTTACTGAGAGAGATACATATATATGTATTCCATCTCACTGCCCAATAGACTGCCTGTAGGCTTCATATAAGTCTATTGGGCGGTGAGATGGAACTCGTCTCACTCAAATGCCGCCAGATCAAAAAGTATACATCTGGTAGACATTGAGGAAGACATTGTTAGAAAAAAGACAAATTTTTATATGATTCAGTGGTAAAATGATGGCTGAAGTAACATTTTTCTGGCTCTCTTTTCCCATTCACCTGAATGAGGAGCTATTAGTGAGGACACATTAAATAATTCAAACATGACAGAAATAAAATGAGGGAGCAATTTGGTGCCAGAATGGTGTCTCTACAACAAACTGTAGGGAAGGTACACACCACGGAAGAAAAATAATATTAATAATAAAGAATTTAGCCAAACGTAACATACACCTGACAGTTAGCTTTGCAACAGTCCCACCAATTATTAGGCAAGAGTAAACACAGTGAGACAGTTACTGATGTCACAGCTGCACAACAACTAAACATACTCTATAAAAGCTGGCATTACAATAAAATGGTCCCAAGTCTAGCAACACTTGGACAACATGAAAGTTTTAATATATTCAGATTTCATAATTTCGGAATTTCCGCAGCAGATTAGATGGAGAGTCACCAGCCCAGCGGAAGCGTCGATGGCAGAAATCACCTGCAGCAATGATAAGAAAGAGTCACTTCACTTCCCTTTATGCAGTTCAGTACTTTTTAAACAGCTACTGTTTACTCTAGAAGAAATTCACATGAGGAACAGTTCAGATCCTTCACTGAGTACTCAAGCCTGTTGTGTACTTGGCTTGAGTATCCGGTAAGCTGTACTGATGCTCGTGGAGGAAAGTCTATAATCATAGCTGTGTTTCAGCTATAGTAATACTGACTTGCAAGTGTTTATCTCAGAGGTTATGACTGACTTCTAACTCTAAAAATTAGTTTCAGAACAAAGTCCTCACAGTGCTTTTTAGCGGCAAATATTTGAAACATTTTGTGGCAGTATTATAAAGGAAAAAGGAATCCACAGCGAGCTTCTGTAGAATCTCAGGAAAACTGAATCAGTCCTCAGGGCTACAGGAAAGTGTCAGCCCTGAACACTGAAGCTAAAAACTAGCTAAGAGGAAACTACTAACATGGTCTCACAGCCAAGTTGTGAATAATTGCTGAACCTGAAATTATAACCAAAATAAAATGAAATCAGTGCTTTAAAGTGGTAGCTTTGAAGTGCAAAGTGCAAAACCTCACAAAACATTGGGTGGGCGTGCAGCCCTCTTTAATATGAGCACTAAAGAGCTCCTACTTTTATATTCCATCAGCTTAATATAAGAGCAGAGAAGCTCTTGAGTAGCTGTTCTGAATATCCATTGCCTCTCTGCAATGAAATTAGATTGAAAATACACCAAATCATGTCTATCATACTGGTATCAATTAAACTTTTCTCATGTCTGACTTTCAAAAATAAGGATCCTATGGCACTGACCACTTCCTTACTTGTATTTTGTGTGTTGTTATGTATTGCTCTCCAGCAACATCTTGCTTTAAAGAATTGGAATAAATTTCAGTTACCCGAGTATGCCGTGCTTTCACACGAAGATTTCCCCGTTTCCTGCTGCTCACAGTGAAAGCTCTCTGCTTGTGACGTGATGGGGTCTTCTGGTTTGGAGGCCTCCAACATTGGTTCCTTCTTATTTCTCACAGCCCAGTGCATTGACTGTAAACAAATTAGCAGGCTTTTTAAGTGTCAATGGTTGCACAGTGTTTATAAGAATCTAAAGAGAGGACATTACGTACAGTTTTCACTGAGTCGTTCAAGGCCTGCCAGTCATGGAATGGGATCGTAACTCCACTTCTTTTCCAAAGATCATAGTTTTTCCTTTTGGTTTCATCGCATAAAACCTCTTTGGCTTCCTGCAGCTTCTGGAAATCTGCCACTTTCACAACAGAAAAAACGGCTTTAATAGAAAATTTAAAATTTAATAAAACAATTTACTGTATACAGCTGTAAGCATCCGCTCTATTAGCATTATTTGCTTTGAAGTTAAGACATCAGAAACAGACATTAACTATGTAAGAAAAGTGTGAATGAAGAGGTAATGAAGGGGTAATAGCACACTTTGTAATACTTTATTGCTTCGGGCTATGAAAAAAAGGTTATATGAAATATGACTCACACACAGTTAGTGGTGTGTGTGCATTACCTGCTCTTGGGCTGTCGAGGTGTTTGTCTGGATGACATGCCAAGGCTCGAATCTTGTATTCATTGAGAATCTGTTCAGTCTGCAGGAGAACAAAACAAAACAAACCTCATAGTCTGATGTGATCTAATCAATCAGATCTATGTTATCTTGACCGTGTTATTGACTAGTTGAGACCCTCAGCTCTGCCAGTCTATGAGTGTTGCTGATTGCTGAGTAATATATTGAGTGAAAATTGGCGATCACAAGACCACGGTGGATATGTGTGTTGATGTTGATAATCAAAGATTTGTTTTAGTAAGATACATTAAAAAATCACACTGATTGCATATCTAATCTAGTTATACACAAATGAATTTAAATGCTGGCTGGCAGACACTGGATGACGCACGACTAGTTTCACATCAACAGGTCTCTGTTGGTTCAGCCTAATCTGAGGCACACATACATTTTTATTTTCACATTTTTTGACTCAGCAGCGTACAGGCTATTGACCCAAATAATTACTGACTTATAGATCGAGACTATATCCGTTCAGCAACCCAGGAAATAGTCTGAGCCTTAAACCCACTGACGAGAACTTACCGATGACAGTTCATCGCATCCCAGTAACCCGTAGTAATCCTCCAAATCCTCAGGTTTACAGCTCAAAACAGCCTCCATAAAAATCTGTCGGAGAAGCACGTATGGCTTCTTTTAACGGACCACAAATGCTGCTGAACGTGATCACAGCTGATCAGTTAAAGGGTTGCCAAAGGGTCCCCCCTCTCACTCACTTACTATAACCAACTAGCCAACTACTAACTGTTAGCAAAGTTTGTCTCAGTATGGTTTTGTCAGCTAGCGTTAGATTTCAGGGATTATTAAACTGTTAAAATTGTCAAGGGAGCTCTCTCCTGAGTTGTTGGGAGAGCCCAGCTGCCCCTTTTTACCGTATGACGCACGATGCATTCAAGGGTCTTGATAATGGTCCTGCTTACTAGAAAATTCATTTATTCATCTGGCTAAGAAACAAAGGCAATGGTAGCTTTAGGAAATTAAAAATGTTATATTTTTATGTAGTAAAACTACATTTCTTTCACATACTTAAAGCTTGTGTGGCAACGAAAAAAGAAAATGACAGATTTGTAACTGGGGCATTAATTAAGCTTTCAACGGCTGCACGTCAATATAAAATCGTTTATATTTACGCGAAACACATCACCGAAAGGCTTGAAAGATTCGCGAGGGCTAACCTATGATTAGAAATCATCCGACAGCACTTGAAGGCAACAATATTTGTTATGGTATAATGTCAGCGACGTAGAGGGGGGCGTTTCGCTCGTGACTACTGGTGGAGAACGAGTCACGTGTGCTATGCAAATGAGCCAGCTGTCCGAGAGGAAGGCTCCTGCTCAGCGGCTCTGCGGGCTGAAGATGGCGGACGGAGAGAACAGTCTCAAAACGGCCCTTTCGGGCGCCTCCGATACGGGGGAACCTCCGGCTAAGATTTCGAAAATCAGTCCAGGGACTAACTATGGACTAAAAGCCGTCGAAGCGGACCAGTTCTCGTGCGTCTCCGCGGCAACTGAGAGCTGGGAGGCGGCGTTGAATTGTGCGCAGCCCGCGGAGAAGGAAGCTAAGCCGGTGATGGCGGTAGAACAGGCCCCGGCAGCGCTAGGCGGAGACAACAATGGACTGGAAGTATTGCTCTCCGACCCTCACAAGCCAGTTGGAAAACTGGACGACACCACTGTCTTTGGCGCAACCGAGGACAGTCCAGGTATAAAAAGAGAGAAAAACTTTGAGTATTTAAGTGATTTACAGTGAGAAAAATTCTCTTTGCCAACTTAACCGGTGAGCTAACTGGCTCCATGTGAAACAGTTAACTTTGCTAATGTTAAATACAGTAATGCTGTGTGGGTGTCGAGAACTGTGTACTCCTGAAAACGGGAACTTTTCCACTAAATTATATTTCGCTAAACGGAAGTAGAACTCTATCAGTGATCCTGCCAGCACAAATTTGGCCATTTAACTTTTTCATAACCACGCAAAACTTTGAGAGCAACTTAGCGTTTGTTAGCCGGTTGAAAGTTGACTTTGAGAGACTGCGTTCACCGATTTACTTTTGGAACGGGTCGTAGAAGTTATTAAAGAGAGTCGCGACTTATATCTAGTCTTATTTAGTTAATTTTCTCCATGTCTGTACTTAGATTTTCTTGGGCACGATGATCTTCCCTCTAACGGTTTGGCTGTCACTCCGGAGCACATCACTGAAGACGATGACAGGTCCTCGCATGCAAGCTCCAGCGACTGGACTCCTCAACCGCAAATAGGTAACTAAGATAATCAGATCATTAATAAACTACAATATCTTAGATTACGCCACTTATAATATGTATTTAGTGTGTATGTATATATTTAAACCACATAATAATTGTTTGCATTGTACAAGTATGTGTGTACAGTTTTTGAAATCCAGCCATACTGAGATGTTATGTTCTTGCTCGCAGGTTCCTACAGTTTCATCCAGCAGCACATTAGAGAGACAGATCCAAGGGCCATCCTGAGGGATTTGCTGCCCGAGACTGTACTCCCACCAGATTTAGATGACATGACATTGTGGCAGATCATCATCAACATCTCAGAGCCTCCAAAAAGAAAGAAGCGGAAAGATATTAATACCTTAGAAGATGTAGTCAGGCTACTACATGAAAGTAAAAGGATACTAGTGCTGACTGGTGCTGGGGTATGCATTTTTTACTTTATCATGTAGCTCTACTGTGTAAATTCGATTTTCAGTACTAGTGTTCATTGCATTTCCTTATTATTTTTATTTTATTTGTTGTAGGTTTCAGTTTCATGTGGAATACCAGACTTCCGCTCCAGAGATGGAATTTATGCACGGCTTGCTGTAGATTTTCCAGATCTTCCAGATCCTCAAGCTATGTTTGACATTGAGTACTTCAGACGGGACCCTAGACCGTTTTTTAAGTTTGCTAAGGTTGGTTTTACATGAACAATAGAATAACAATTTGAATGCTCTCTAACAAAGAATTATTAATCTTAATCCAAACCATAAATCTCTTCATGTAGACCATTGCAAGGTCTACATGACTAGTGGATTGTGCACTTTCATTCTGTGAAAGGGTGTTGGTCATTTAGAAAGGGAAACTACTTAAATGTAAGCCGCTTCTGAGTTCCTGTTAAATTTTGTAATGTTGTTTAATACGCTGCCCCACACCCCCATGTTTACACCAACTTTTAAATGGAGAATCAGAACCTGTTTTTTAAGTTAACTTAAAACATAACATAATGTTCAGTTAAATTTGACCCATTTTATGCTTTGGAATAGAAAGAAAAAAATAATACTTACAGGGAGTGCAGAATTATTAGGCAAGTTGTATTTTTGAGGAATAATTTTATTATTGAACAACAACCATGTTCTCAATGAACCCAAAAAACTCATTAATATCAAAGCTGAATGTTTTTGGAAGTAGTTTTTAGTTTGTTTTTAGTTTTAGCTATTTTAGGGGGATATCTGTGTGTGCAGGTGACTATTACTGTGCATAATTATTAGGCAACTTAACAAAAAACAAATATATACCCATTTCAATTATTTATTTTTACCAGTGAAACCAATATAACATCTCCACATTCACAAATATACATTTCTGACATTCAAAAACAAAACAAACAAATCAGCGACCAATATAGCCACCTTTCTTTGCAAGGACACTCAAAAGCCTGCCATCCATGGATTCTGTCAGTGTTTTGATCTGTTCACCATCAACATTGCGTGCAGCAGCAACCACAGCCTCCCAGACACTGTTCAGAGAGGTGTACTGTTTTCCCTCCTTGTAAATCTCACATTTGATGATGGACCACAGGTTCTCAATGGGGTTCAGATCAGGTGAACAAGGTGGCCATGTCATTAGTTTTTCTTCTTTTATACCCTTTCTTGCCAGCCACGCTGTGGAGTACTTGGACGCGTGTGATGGAGCATTGTCCTGCATGAAAATCATGTTTTTCTTGAAGGATGCAGACTTCTTCCTGTACCACTGCTTGAAGAAGGTGTCTTCCAGAAACTGGCAGTAGGACTGGGAGTTGAGCTTGACTCCATCCTCAACCCGAAAAGGCCCCACAAGCTCATCTTTGATGATACCAGCCCAAACCAGTACTCCACCTCCACCTTGCTGGCGTCTGAGTCGGACTGGAGCTCTCTGCCCTTTACCAATCCAGCCACGGGCCCATCCATCTGGCCCATCAAGACTCACTCTCATTTCATCAGTCCATAAAACCTTAGAAAAATCAGTCTTGAGATATTTCTTGGCCCAGTCTTGACGTTTCAGCTTGTGTGTCTTGTTCAGTGGTGGTCGTCTTTCAGCCTTTCTTACCTTGGCCATGTCTCTGAGTATTGCACACCTTGTGCTTTTGGGCACTCCAGTGATGTTGCAGCTCTGAAATATGGCCAAACTGGTGGCAAGTGGCATCTTGGCAGCTGCACGCTTGACTTTTCTCAGTTCATGGGCAGTTATTTTGCGCCTTGGTTTTTCCACACGCTTCTTGCGACCCTGTTGACTATTTTGAATGAAACGCTTGATTGTTCGATGATCACGCTTCAGAAGCTTTGCAATTTTGAGACTGCTGCATCCCTCTGCAAGATATCTCACTATTTTTGACTTTTCTGAGCCTGTCAAGTCCTTCTTTTGACCCATTTTGCCAAAGGAAAGGACGTTGCCTAATAATTATGCACACCTGATATAGGGTGTTGATGTCATTAGACCACACCCCTTCTCATTACAGAGATGCACATCACCTAATATGCTTAATTGGTAGTAGGCTTTCGAGCCTATACAGCTTGGAGTAAGACAACATGCATGAAGAGGATGATGTGGACAAAATACTCATTTGCCTAATAATTCTGCACTCCCTGTATGTCTTTTAGCTTGAAATTGTTTAATTTTCCTAAAGTAACTTAAAATTTTATCACAAGAACTGTTTGTGTTCCCACCAGATTTGATCAGGCCCCTGCAGGAACGGGAAATTTAAAGGATCGTGGGGAATTCTCCAAACAGTGAAATAGTAAAAGAACACAGGAGTGATCAAATAAGATCCACAAAATAACAGAGGCTATGCAGAAGTCAGAGGGTCCCTTATCATAGACACAATATCTGTAATAGGGTGGGAAGGTGATCCATATACAGTAGCATATTGTGGTACAGTGGGTAGCACTGTTGCCTCACAGCAATACTTTTCCTGGTTGAAAAAATTGCTTAAAGTTCAATAGCTGTGTGGGTGTGTCTTGTAAACTTACACAGCATTTAATGTTTTTATCTTCTCTCTTAAGCACATTGTGTTTACATATTAATAAATGTGCTACATGAATAAAATTGCAATTAAGTACTCCGAATAAAGTACTGTATGTATTTGCTAATAGAGATTAAAACAGATCTCATAAGATGGGTTGGGTCATAACATTACAAAAGGACCTGAGCTGCCATTTCAGTGAGTGTGAGAAACTGATGTGGAAGTCCCACACATGCCAGGTTTCCTAGCACTGCTTTGAATGCACAGACTAGTTTGCAATAAGCATTTTGTATATATATTGTGTTCTAAGTCAGTTAATACTGCACTCTGAAAAAGGTTTAAAAAAAGGTTTTAAAGATTGATCACTGATTTATTATTATCAAATATATTCAAACCATGCTATGAGGCATGAAATATAAACAGTTATTAAGTGTTTAAATATGGTCCAGAAAAGCCATGGTGGGGGCATATGACTATAGCAATGTTTGCATTTTCTTCACAAGTACTGAATGCATAATTTTATATTACAGGAGATCTACCCTGGGCAGTTTGAACCTTCTCCCTGTCATAGATTTATATCTATGCTAGATAAGCAAAGAAAGCTGCTGCGCAATTATACACAAAACATTGATACACTGGAACAAGTGGCTGGGGTTCAGCGGATTATCCAGTGTCACGGTGAGTGGTGCATGTGATTGATCCCTCTTGCTTATTTCGATATTTGTTTGTTTTTGTTTTTTTATAGTTCTTCCCCAGTAATTCAATGTCAATTATATTTTAGGGTCATTTGCAACTGCATCCTGTCTCGTCTGTAAGCACAAAGTGGACTGTGAGGCTATAAGGGAAGACATCTTTAACCAGGTATGTGTTCACTGCAATCTAATCCAGGATACCACTTTTTTTGCAGACACTGTTGGATGTTGCACCATCACCAAGGCCAATAATGCAGATACAGATTGCATGTAGAAACATCGTGTGAAAAACCTCTTTAATAAGTATAAGGATTTATCTGTATATATTTGCTGTTAGGGTCTCAAATATCTACGTAATTACTTGTAAACAAGGGAAACCACATGGACATCAAAAGCTGATAATACCCTTTTTAGTTTTACCTGCCAAACAACCCATAACATAGCTGACTGTTTAAAATATTCCAGAAAGATTGCCTTGTTATTGCTGTGAGTGATTGCCCACCCCATAAAATTTGGATGGTGTTTAGTGGCGCTGTAGTAAATAAATAATACATTAAATTCATCCATCAGGTTGTCCCTCATTGTCCACGGTGTCCAGATATCCCTCTGGCAATCATGAAACCAGACATTGTCTTCTTTGGAGAGAACCTTCCAGAAATGTTTCACAGAGCCATGAAACAGGATAAAGATGAGGTGGATCTCTTGATCGTCATTGGCTCTTCGCTTAAAGTCCGACCGGTTGCCCTCATCCCAAGTATGTTTTATCGAAACGGATTCACTTTTAGTGTCTGTAACATTAAACATACTAACCGATATGTTTCTGTATGCTTTGCATGTCATTCAAACACCGAATATTTGTTTTTCCTCTCATCCAGACTCCATTCCTCATGAAGTGCCTCAGGTCCTGATCAATCGGGAGCAGCTGCCTCATCTGAACTTTGACGTGGAGCTACTCGGGGACTGTGACGTCATTATCAACGAGCTCTGTCATCGATTGGGTGGAGACTTTGAGCAGCTCTGCTACAACACTGTAAGATTAACTGAGATCACAGAGAAACCCCCTCGGTTACCAGAACAGCCACCAAGCGAGGCCTTGTCTGCTTCGAGTGATGCGACTCAGGAGGAGCAGAAGCGGCACACTACAGACTCAGTAAATATGCCTTCGGAGGAGACAGAAAGTCTGAATGTCACAGAGACTGCTGATAATAATGTTACACCTCTAGAGCCTTGTCCAAATGCTCAGTGTCCAACGGAGAGCACTGAATCTCCAGAGAAAGCAGCAGAAGGTGCGCCAAAAGAGGAGGCACCCGAACGAAAGAGTCAAACCTCCAACCTTGAATTTCGTAGACGTTGCTGGATGAGTCGAGTTAACAGAACTCCAATCAGCAAACGCCTTGAGGGTAAGCTTTAGACCACGGTAAAGCAAGCAAAGCTGCTTTAATGTAACAAATTTATTTTGGATGTGTGACAAAATCGTGCAAAGACATGTTGTGTGTCCCTTTGCTCAGCAGTTTGTTTTTTTTTTCTCCCTCCATATAACTCATAAACAATGAACAGATCCCAGATAGGTGTGCAAAGCTCACTGATCCTCTTTTGTTTTCCACAGCAGGCCAATACCTGTTTCAACCACCAAATCACTATATCTTCCACGGGGCAGAGGTTTATTCTGACTCTGAAGATGAGACGTCGAGCTCCTGCGGGAGTGACAGCGAGGACTCTGAATGCTGTGCTGAAGGGGAGGAAGACGACAGCGAGCCGGAGGATGCCGACGTAGTACCAGCAGTGGATGGAGAAACATGCCTCAAAGACATAGTACAGCACACTGTAGCCACTGAGGCCACGTCAAGTGTGCAGACAGACAATAATTCTGAAAAGACTGAGAGTACCACACACCTTTAAATGTAAATTACCCAGTCAACAAAGCACTAATTGTCTTTTTATAGATATATATATATATATAAATATATACATATAAGTTTCATATATTTTTGACTCTTCATCCTTAATATTCAGGGTTTCCTCCAGAAATGTTGTTAGACCCAGTGGTCAAAGGAGATTTATTCTGTTTGGTAGCAAATAATCCAGTGTCTTTCTCGCTTTTCAAACCATAAGTAGGTAGTAAATAATAGGCTGTATGAGTGGAAGAGCATTAAATTAGACGAAAAAGTCTTGGCTGTTAGCTACACAAATCAAAAAAAGAGTATTAGTTTATCACAGTTCACCTGTTCATTTTTTACTTTCAGGATTCCCTGTTGTAACTCTTCTGAGTGTGTGTATTTGTGGGTTAACAAACTGAACGGCTGTAGCTGCTCTTTCATAGATTGAAAGTAAATGTAAATACATTCAAACATGTTTAGTGTTCAGCGGGCCTCTGGGCTGTCAGTATTCTGGTGGAAACCCTGCTCTCGTTTTTCATAAAGTTGAAGTTGTGTGGCAACTTTGTGTGAATATGCAGCAGGTTTGTTTTTTTTTCCCCTCTTCTTTCTTTCTCTGCCCTGTTTGGTCACATGCACATGTGTCTGAAACTACATACTGTATACTACTTACTAAATAGAGTACTGTGGGGTTTTTTTTTTCTTATGTTTACTTTCCATGTTGTTTTCTGATTTTGCATTCACATTTTCAGAAATTGAATTATTACTTTAATTTAGATTAAGCTTTAATTTCTACATTGCAGTGACTACAGGCAAATGTTCCAAATGTTATTTTCGGTCCATACAACGACATCACCTGTGGTCTAATAATACTTTTTAGAGCTGGTTCATGCTACCATTAGAAACATCAGTTTGTAAGCCAGCAGCTGATAAATGGTGGGTACTATGAGTTTCAGACACATACATAAATCTTCTGATGGTTTACTTGAACGCACTAACTGCAATATAGAAAGTTCAGTTCTGCCTTTTCATAAGGGTCATTGGTGGAAAAGTGACAGTACTCTTTAATTTTAGACCAAAGAACACTTTATCAACACTCTCCTTCGTTGTCATAAGCTTTGTATGTTTAATCTGTCATTTAAAATTTGGAAAAAAATATATAACTATCGACAAGGTGTTCCTTCTGACATGTGGCAGCTACTTTTTATGGTCAAGCCTCTTATTTTTATACTCTGATGTGAGACATACTCATCAAAGGGTAGATGATGGTTTTTATCTGTACAAAGGTATACTGAGTTGTAATAATAAGCCTTAGGAATATATTCACATTGAAAATGGCACTTTTTGTCCTCCTTATAAACCTGGTTTTGTTGCCTGTGTCACTTTTCATTGAGCATTAAGGAGTCTGCTGCCTGCAAAGTGTTGGTATATAGACATAATTGAGCCACTGTGTTGGATACATGTCTACACCAACATAATTCACATGCCATTGACAAGGTAATGTTTTGTTTACGTTTTAAGAAGAAACATTTTTACATCATTCTAGTTGTTATTTCTCATGGAGTTCTCAGTAAAAAATATAGGAAAGAACATTTTTCTGACCTCTCATTTCTATTATTGCAAACGCATCTGATTGGTGTCAATATCAGTATCGTCAGACATTAACACAGCGCCACCTGGTGTTTCATCCGGCTAGTTCCTGAGTCACGTGAGCTCTTGAAGTTTGGTGAGGCGGTGGGGTCCAATTTCAACATCAAATTTGGTGGACCGCATCGGGGGCTTGCGCATGCGTATTATGGTACCTAGTTTTAAATGTGTTTTATTAAGCATTTTAGTTGTCACTCGGCTTATCATTAACAATTAGGTGGTTATCACATTGTTTAGCTAGCCGCAGATTCACGTATAGAAAGCTAAGGAACATTATATAGCCCTAAAACCTCGGAACTACATTTCCCAACATCCTTTCAGCTGCCCTGTAATACGGCGTGTCGTAAAACTTAAAAGGAAAACGGTGATGGACTCCGCCGGAGACGCCTGACAGTTTTTGTCTTCATTTATAATTGTTGTCTGAAATGTTCATCTAGCGACGCAGTGCTTCGGTTCACCGGACCAGTGAAAATGGAGGCTATGGAAGATGACAGTTCGGACGTAAAAGACGACCATAACCACAACTACCGCGCGAGCGGCAGTAATAAAGTCCGCACGTATCTTAGCAGCCAGCTGTCGGAGATATCGACGGTCCCGCAGCCCGTCTGTGCGACGGTGCCGGTTGGAGAAGCGGGTACTCGACAAGGGAAACTGTGGTCCGGTGCAACCGGCGGGTCAAAGTTCATGGACTCGGATACAGGCAGCGAGAGCAGCGAAGTCAGCGAGACTGACAGCACCGCTCCGGGAGCTGCTTCCGAGGGAAAATTCGCCCTCGACTCGACTTCCAAGTTCCGTAAGTTCACTCGAAGCAGGGCCCGAGAGCTCACGGTCTCACCGCAGCTCGGCCTCCGATTATGTTAGTAATGTATGTGGAGAGTGATGCTTTTGGCTTCTGTTCGGTCTGATATGAAGGCTTAATTCACCTCCCCTCTCTTCACACAGTTCTGAATGCAATGGCAGTGGAGGACTACCGGAAAAACCACTGGCCAAACCTGGAAAAGGCAGTTGACCGTCTGCTGATTCAGAATCCCACAGACCACATCTCGGTTTCTTATGCACAGATATACAGGTGAGACAGCACAAGTAAAGGGATGTTGAATAAACACCCCTCTGAACTAGACACCTCCAGATTATGATTTCTGTTGCCATAAGAAGCGCCATATATATATTACCATGTGATTAACTGAGCATTTTAATATAACCTCAAATGCCTGTCTTTTGTTTTCCTAGTTATGTCTACAAGTGTGTTTGTCAGCAGCACTCTGAGCTGCTCTACAATGATCTGACATCAAAAATAACAGGTCACCTGCAGCAGGTTTCCGCCCATCTACAAGTAAGCAAACCCAAATGCAAGATGTAATCGTACAGCACATGCAGAAACTAAAAAACTAACTTTTTGCAATGTTTTGCAGGCTAGCCCACTCGAGAACTTCATTGAAAATTTCAACATTGCACTGACACAATATATAGCTTCTCTTCAGTGTATAGTCCCCGTCTTTATGTACTTGGTAGGTACCACTTATCAGCTTTTTCCCCCCCCTTTTTTAATCAAATATTTAGCAAATCCCATGCAGGGAAGTGTAGTTTTGTGTTAGTTTGTTACTTAAATTTATGTTTGCACGTGCTTCTCTTTTCAGAACAAGTTTTACATTGAGTCCAAACTGAACCGAGACCTCAGAGAGGATCTGATGAAGCTGTTCGCTGATCACGTCGCAGAAAAACACGTGAACACACTGATGCGTGAGTGTACCGCTTCATCTCATGCGCTTTGTTCTGATTAATCACGATGTGATGCAAAGTCACAAAAAGGGGAAATTAAATAAATAAAAATCCTCCCTTTGGTCAAGTCAGTTGACACCATCTTGTCCATTGTGCTCGTTCTTTTCAGCTCTGCTCATTAAAGCTCGGTCCATGCCCTTTGAAGTGCAACCCTCAACAATGGCTAGTGTGGTTAAGGGCCTCTACAGCCTCCGACCAGGTGATTTTAGATAAATTATTTATCTCACACTCCTCTTATTTGAGCAGATTTTTTTTTTTTTAATTAATTAATTAATTTTTGATTTTGGTTTCCTCTCTCAGAGTGGGCCCAGCTCGCCCCAGATCTCTTCTCCGGGTTTATCCCCCAGATTAACCCTCCTGCTGTGGAGTCTCTGCTGCAAGACTACGCTGCTCATGACCAGAAACTACAGATGGAGCTCTCCATGAATGGATTCCCACGGTCAGTTTTCCAGAGTCTTTAGCATCAAATGAAGACTGAGTCACATCTGCTTTAACTTGGGTCTTGTGCTTGTTTTCCAGAGGTGACCAGTCTCGCAAACGGGCCAGCGAGGACTCGTGATGGCCGGCGTCACTGGATTTGCTGCAGAACTAATACTGTGCCTCTTAAGTCTTTATCACAAGTTGTCTCCTTGGACTAGGTACAACGCTAACAGTGCGTCATCCCTTTTTAACTCGAGGTCACGAAACACTGTGAATAACAAAGACAGCATGATGGGTTGTTGAGCAGAAGGATTTAAAAAAAAGGAAAAAGTGGCTCACAGACTTCCATTTTGGTGCTTTCCTTCTGATTTCTTCATCTTCCGCTCATCTGAAGAGTGCCTTCACGGTGTCCGTCTGACTGAATATCATGATGAAGCTGACGATCCATTCCTAACCTTTAACATGGAAGTGTCTTGTGTTGTCTTTGATATACGGGGCTAATTAAGACTCTATTGCTGCTGCTAATAATATTGTTTGTGTGTTAATATCATAAATCCCTTGGTGTCGCCCACATATTGTGTATCTCAGTGGCTACAGTCAACACAAATGAGTGTGGAAAGAAGTGGGAGCTAGGTCACTCAGCTTAGCTATGACTCTCTTCTTCCTGTTGCTTAAAATGTCTTATCATGCTCAGTCATCCAGGTAAGTAATTCCCAAAAAGTTGATTCTGTTCATCTGGATGTAGCGTTTTCAGTGGGAGAAACATTTTCGTCACTTATCCCAAGTGACTTCTTCAGTCTCAGCTGAGTGCAGGTTTCCCCAACCAAAGACCATGGTTTTTGATCGGTGGTTGTTGGTCAGCTGAGACTGAAGAAGTCACCGATTGACGAAAATGTTTCTCCCACTGAAAACGCTACATCCAGATGTAGGGGTTATTGCTGTTGCCTTTACTGTTTGGGTAAGCCAGGTTGTATTTTCCAGTTTTGCCAAAGAGGATAACTGTTCTTTTGTTTTTTCTTTAAACACAATGTGTTGGGTTCCAGTTTATGTTCTCAATGTTGTATGCTGTCTGAGTCACTGAGCCATTTAATTTTATTCTTTACTAATAAGTTAAAGCTTTGGTTCACCCACTGGTTTACCCTCAAGTCATTCTGCCTTTAATGACAACTTGTTTGTTTAAGCCTTGCACGTAGGAGGAGGAGGTTGCCGTATACAGGAAGTAACACTGAGTGCCATACAGTTAAAAGGACCACATAATACCATTTGAGGATTTCCTGATTTTATTTTATTTTTACATTTTTATTTATTTTATGTAACCTCACCTTGCCTAAATTTCCCCCTAAATTGCCACCTCCATGTTTGTATTCTTGGACCCAACCAGAGTGGCTCTGCATGATTTCCCATCCAAAATAATCCCTGTTTATCTTATACTGAGCCTCAGTGCCGCCTGAAGCAGGTTGTTTTTGGGCTCGCTTTCTTTTGATTGGCTGCCGCCGCATGAACAAAAGGTTTGAACAGCAAGTAGGAGGGGCTTCAGTCACAGGCCTGCATAGCTGAATGACCGTATTAAGGATATCTGCTTAGAGTGACATCATAGAGAGCCCGAAAAAAAAAAAATCTGTCTCAAATTAAGTGTTTAAAGCAGTTTGATACCTCAGCCTCGCAGTGGTTACCCGTATTTTCACTGCACTCATGATTTGAAACTCTGATGATGTTTAGTTTGAGCAGTCACCACTGGAACAGGATAATGGGTCCACTTTAACAAAGCAAATGATATGCAAATGTGGTTTTGTGCCAGAGCACATGCTCTTCATGTTGTAAATAGTTTTTGCCTCTGCATACCGGTATGTGTACACTAGCTTTTGTCACAGGTGCGTTTTTTTGTTAAACAAGTCACTCGAATAAATGTTTGATACAAGTTCCTACACTGTTTTAAGTGTAATTAGATGCTCAGGCTTGCTTTTTGTTTCTATCTCGCGTTACTTCAAATGAACTAATCACAGGATTTCATTATTCTAGCTTTTACAACTGGGTCCTGTCATCAAGCGGGGTTGTAATACAGCTAATGAAGTCAAGAGGAATCTAAATCATTAGGGATGCTGAACACTAGCTGTACTAGATTACATGTCTCACCTTTTAATTTTACATGATGCAAAATTAATTCATGTTTAAACCCACTGTGAATGGCTCAAATACTGTTTCAGCAATCTGTTTTTATCTCAAAATCAATAAAATCCTTGAGTCTTAGCATTTGTCACACTAATGAGAGACGCTTACTGTTGTCGTTTCTTTATCTAATGCAAATTCTGTTTGGAAATTGATTTTTATCTGCTCATCTGCAGGGTTCACACGAGTGTGTCTGTGTGTGTGTTAGAGTGAGAAAGGTTCGCCAAGGGGCTTCTAATTCTGCAGTACGGAGGTCTGCGATGAACCACAGGAGGAGGAATCCCTACAGCACAGCTCCCCATGACCAATAAGGAGGGACACCACCCAGCCACATGGGCCTCCCCCAAAATAACCTGCCACTATTGCACTGACAAATGTTGCTACTTTTACTGGTGACAGGTTACCGTAGCTGCCCGGCTCCACATTTTCCTGTAAACTTCAAGGTTAATTCTCAGCAAGAAAAGAGGGAAGGCCAAGCAGCTGCCGGTGTCTGAGATTTTCCCGGGTGGCAGGAGCCTGAAGACTGGAATCGGCCCCCTTTCAGCACAGGTGCACTCTGAGGATTTACTAGTCCTTCCACAGGGGCCAGCTGGGTTTATTCTGAAGGTAAAAACACACCAGCCCCTAATTTAATTGTTCATGCATCTTGTTGACGTCTGTTGGCATCAGCCTCAGATGCTGTGTATAGCCTCAGAAACACTGACACTGAGCCTCAGACAAGCTTTAACCTGTTTCTGTTTGGACCATACGTTCCTGTTTAATTCAATGAGCTTAACCTGTGTGGACTGTTGTGTTTAGTCAAGGGGTCTGTTCATGTGTGTCATCTCACTCAGCAGTGCCACACTTATGATAATTATAGTAGTGTTTGTGTAACTTGATTAATGATCAAACTTATGATAGCAAGAGCCCACAGGTGCATTGCTGCTGCTTTTCTTTTCTTTTTTTCCTTTTTGTTGATTTCCCTTCAGTAAACTGACCCCTCGCTATTATTAGATATGACTTGGTAGGCTTGGAGCCTGTTTGCAAAGGATAAATGTACACAACAGCTGCAGCTTCAGGTCTGTTGGAAGGGCATCGCTGTCTCTCCTAATTGCACTGATTTGAGTGTCAGTGGCATATGTGTACCCTATCTCATGTCTGCATTCAATAACTTGCTCATGCATGGTGTCAGAAAGCGCTGCAAAATCTAAACCTCATAAAAATGTTGATCTGAGGTGGTCAGGGGGGTAAAAAAGCCTGCCTGTGTCTCTCAGATCTGGTGACAGCACATGAACCTGATACCCTGTCGAGGCTGAATTTAGGCTAAAATAAAAAGCTATTTTTATTACATATCTCTGCTTTTAACCCCGGGCTCTGCATTCATGTTCTGACTGCGTGCCAAATATTTCACAAGGGATTGTTCAAACAAAACTGCAGTAGCGAGAGTTATAGCTCAGATACTTATCACTGTATAGTTTTTACTGACTCCTTAACACACGACGCAGACAGAAAGCATTGAAACAAGACGTCAGCTTTAAATTGATTTAACGCACTTCTGAACATAAAGATCTGATAAACCTGTCAGAGACCTAAAGAACCATGAATGATTTCTCAGATTTACTGTTTACTCGCTGGGAATCCAGTTAGTTTCTTGATAAACTGTTAACTCAGTGTCATTAATTAGTGGAAATAGTGATAGCTATTGAATTTTCTATCTAACAAAAGTCAAAAGAGAAACAGTTAATTTTCATGTTTTGGCATCTTTTGATTGAGATAGAATAAAATAAAACTGTAAATCAAGGATATACATGTCATATATACTGTTTATTAAACATGGCCAAAGTTACAGAAATAAGTAATCATGAGTCCAAACACTCAAGCTTCCAATTGCTTTAAAAGCATTCAGTTTCAGATAGTGGCCAGAGTGCCTGAGATAACCATAAGAATATACTCCTCTCTGACGTCATACTGAGTCACTTGTAGAAAAACAGAGGGTGATGAGGGGCAGCGAATCAGAAAGTTGGATTAAATAAAGAAGGACGGGAGTGAAAATGCCTTGTTTCAAACAGAAGGTGAATTGAGGCGCTATACCGAGGCGCCTTATAAGATCAGTGACATGTGAAGAATCCCAAGCTACTCCATTAGTGTCCAAGAATTAAAATATGGAGGAAATGAGCCACTATAATATGTTTGTCGCAGATTTTAATCAGGACTGGATTTGTTTGTACGTAAGGAGTTATTCTGACAACTGAGCGCTGATTGTCAAGCAGCAACTTTTCTAAATGCTTGAAGTCAGCAAATTGATGTTTTGCATTAGTTTGTCCTCAGGAGTCAGATTTCCATGCACAGCTGTTTAAATCTTTTCAATCTCAGATCACACAGGATGCGTGGTCACACCACTGACTGCATTAAGATAGAAGCTGATCACGTCAGAATGTATTTGTTTGTGACATTTCACTCTGCTGACATTCACTGATTTATATTCATGTGGATCAGCTACACACAAGTGTGCAGGGTGTCTCGTTTCTTTCACGTTTGTTAATGACTTATTTAAGGGGGGGGGCAGGAAATTATTCTATAAACCTGCAGAGGATCACATTAAGCCCGAAAGCCTACATGAATGTTTTTATTTTCATACTTTTTAAATTAAATCTTGTGTTTATTTTAGCAACATGCAAGAGAACAGCATTGACCAGCCACCGTCGCTGTCTCAGCTGTTAAGGGAGAGTTACCTGGCAGAAGCCACAGCCCAGCAGCGCCACAGCGAGATGAGCCGCTCAGACGCTTCGTCCTCTCGCATTCAGATCTACGGGTCACTCAAAGGCAAGGCGGAGGACACTATTGGCCACAGTGACCCCCAGTTTCTAGACCTTTCAGCCTTCCTCAGCCAGGAGGAACTGGATAAGAGCGTGAACCTGGCCCGCCAGGCCATCGGACACGAGCCTCATGAGGAGAGGGCAGAGGTCAAAGCCTCTGTCACGCCATCTACCCCGTCCAGAATCTCCTCACCCTCAGTTTCTTCATCCACACCCAGTTCTGTTCCCATCTCTAACCCCTCTAATGCTCCTTCTGCTTCCCCCTCAACTGTGCCCCTCACTCAGCCGGAAAATTTCACATCTGACAGAAAGATGCAGCACAAAGCATCCACACGGCAGGACAATGTGATCAGGAGCAGCAGGGACTTTGGTGAAGGATTCCAAGACTATAACAGGTCAGCAAGAAATGCCCCTTACGGTGTGGAGACCCAGTCCAAGAAGGAGTTCCTCAATAAGGCAGCTGACTTCATTGAGGAGCTGTCCTCTCTGTTCAAGGCCAACAGCTCCAAACGGATACGCCCGAGAGCCTGCAAAGCCCACAGGAGCAGGATCCCAAACAAGAGCCAGAATGATGGGACAACTTATCCCCTCGTCGCTGACAACCGGGAGCGCGCAGTCATGTCCATGGAGGTGGAGAAGGAGACACCCAGCCCTCCCATTACACACCAACCAGTTGCCCAGCTGGGTTCTGAGACAGGACATGTGGAGTTTCAGGACTGCTCGATTACTGAGGAGCACCAGTGTGACTCTGTGCTCCAGGAGGCGGAGGAAGAGCCTCAAAGCTTTGCCTTAACAGAAACTCCATATCCAGCAGAGCCTGTGTGTGAACCGCCTCGCTTCATCCAGAAACTGAAAAGCAGGGAGGTTTCTGAGGGCACCAAGGTCCGGTTGGACTGCATTGTTAGAGGACTCCCTCTGCCTGAAGTCCGGTAAGATCATAAGTCATCATTAAGTTATTCTTTGTTTTGCAGGACACAGTATCTGTTTCAGACTCTACACATTTTTTTCAAATGCAGTGTTTGTAAAAGCTCAATGTGCTGTTGGTTTTCCTCAACAGAAGCATCCCAGTGGACTTTTAGCAGCACACACAAGGGTCTAATTCAGCTGAATGATTTTGTTTGAGTAGTGAGTACATAGCATGAGAACACAAGGGATACAATGTTACTTTGTACTTCTTCTTCTTCACTACTGTTCAGCAGCAAATATCAAACCTTCTATTCCACTACATTTATTTTGCAGCATTAGGTTAGTGATTTTGCATTTGGTACATAAAAATATATCTTAAGCTTTTACTGCACAATATAATGATTTTTAAAAATGTAATCATGTTTAAGTATTGCAACAGACATTTATTACAAAGGTAAAAGTTTGAGGGGGGGGGTTCTGCGGGCCTAATCCTCTTCAGCTAGCCTTCATTTATATGGAGAAAAGCTACTTTCGGCTGTTCCTTCTCCACAAGGGGTCATCATGGTGAAGGAAATACACTTTAATATGTTATTTTTTAAATATATATATTTTATTTGGTAGATAAAATAATGAATTAATGGTATGCCCATGCTTTTTAAACACTGCACACAGTTATACATATGCGTACTAGAGTCCAGCACCTGATAATATTAACATTTCATACATGTATTGGCACCTATGTATGTAACAATGAAATGTCCTGATCAGCATGTATAACTCTGTATTCTTTGCTGATCAAATGCAAAAGATGAAAACGGTCTTTTCTGATGTGATTTATGTATTTATTTTAAAAGACATATTTTGGTTACCTGTCGTCAGAGCCCGTCTCTAAATTACAAAGTCATTTAGGTTGTAACTCTGGATGAATGGCGCAGAGGTTTATTCGGAGATGCAGACAGAAGTGACATGTGATGACGGCCGACAGCTGATTCTGAACCATACGAGTGAGCGTTTGTGTCGATTTATGTGTCGTCAGGGGAGTAAATGATAACCGCACGAGGCATTCTCCTTTTAAGATGAGCAGTCATACAAATTATAAATCATCAAAAACTACACTGAAAATAAAAAGGCTAGAATTTAAGAACAATTTACACCTTTTACCACATTCAGTTAAAGGCCTCCTGTAACAAAAGTTTAGACATTTTTAAAGAGGCGTCATAATAATAATTGCCACATGGTGTTTTCATGGCTGTTTTGTTTGATCTGTTTTATGTGAATCGTATGTGAGCAGCTTTAACCCGCTGAGGTGTCTGACTATAGGGGGCATGGGCTTGTTAGCCCCGCTGCACATTGTTGAGCCACTACCTTATACTTGTCCAGGGAGAATGTAGCTCTCAGCCATTTTTAGACTGGGCTGGCAATGTGAGCTGCAGTCGTGTCTGATAATGGAACTGAGCTCTTGACAGAAGTGTGAAGACTTTGGTAAGATGATTTACAGTTTCTCCCGAGTGGATATTTTTATATGTTTTGTTGTGTGTGCCCCAGTGTCTCACAGATGTACATTTCTGAAGATCTGAGGTGTGTTTTAACAGTTTCTACTTACAAGTCTACTTTCTGTGTTAACACAGAGCTCATTTAATTAAGTGTGTTTTTGTCTGACGTAGCTGTTACCGTGTCTGAATTAAATGAGTCAAAATGGAGTTGTGAGGCTTATATTTTCCATCTGTTTTCAGTGGTGTGCTCTCTCTGATATGTCAGGTTGTAGCATTGTGTGCATCCTGAGTCTATGTTTAGCTTTGTGCGTATGTGGTTACGTCAGCCAGTCAGAGACCCCGGGGTTCATGAGGGAATCTCCTCTCTCGTTCTGATCTTCAGAGGGAAAATATCCCAGACAGGTGCAGAAAGCAAGGGTCTTTGGCCCACAGACAAGCCACCTCCTCTGCCACTCATGCTTTCAATTTAGACTCTTACTCACTGAGAGTGACAAAGCTCTGCTCAGACAGGACACAGGCAGTACACATTCCAGCCCGTCCTGCATTCGAGAATCAGGAACATCCCTTTAGCGCTGGTTTGTGTTTTCGCCCTCTGGAAATCTTCAGCTACAGCGGCGGGGGACATCAGAGCCTGCATACTGAACAGAAAAAGCGAAGCAGATGATCCATAATCTCAGCGTAATCGCTATGATATGAATTAGGACTATGTGGTGACGCGTTTCCAGAGAGCAACACATCAGCTCCCCATTCCTCTTTGTTTATTGGCTCGATTTTATAAAGCATCAGTGCCTCATCTCCTCAAAATAGATGTACGCTGACACAGAGGCTGCTGCATATGTTGCTGGCCAGCAGGGGAAGAAGTTAGAGGAAGAAGTTATTATAGTTTTACAATGACAAAAAAATAGACTGTTGCCAAGTACAGCTCCTGTCTACTCGTGCTCTAAGAAGGCTGTGCAGTACTAGTTGTGCTGGAAGGGTTTTCTGCCATTTTTTTAAGTTTTACATTTGTTAAAATACATTTTTTTGCTATTAATAACATAACATTTTAAACTGCAGTACTGATGATTGGCTTTAGGACTCAGACCTGGTTTAAGCTGCCTTGCATCTAAACACCTCTCTCATCAAGTCATAAACAAATTAAAAAAAAAAAAATCATATTTGGTTGCGTTTCATTATTTTAACTCGTTGATGTTAAAGTAAATGATGCTAACTGTTTTGTGTTCCTTGTCATGACAACATCAGCAGTGAATAGAAACAGCGTTTGAAGTGGCACGGCAAGCTGCTGCTTCTTCTCTTACAGGGAAAAGGATAGGGCTTGCTCGTCAAAACATTTCCCTCCAGGCCTGCACAACTCTGCTGAATGCTACCGAGCCAGAAACACAACTAGGGAAGTGGGAAAGAGGCCAGGCTGGTAGAAACAGTGTCAGCAGGTTAATAAAAAAGAAATCAAACTAAGGGCAGCACGGTGGCACGGTGGTTAGCACTGTTGCCGCACAGCAAGAAGGTCCTGAGTTCAATTCCACCATCAGGCCGGGGTCTTTCTGTGTGGAGTTTGCATGTTCTCCCCGTGTTTGCGTGGGTTCCCTCCGGGTACTCCGGCTTCCTCCCACCGTCCAAAGACATGCAACTTGTGGGGATAGGTTAATTGGATAATCCAAATTGTCACTAGGTGTGAATGTGCGAATGAATGTGAGCGCGAATGGTTGTCTGTCCCTGTGTGTTGGCCCTGCGACAGACTGGCGACCTGTCCAGGGTGTACCCCGCCTCTCGCCCTATGACAGCTGGGATAGGCTCCAGCGCCCCCCGCGACCCTGAAAAGGATAAGCGGAAGCGAATGGATGGATGGATGGAAATCAAACTAAACTGCGTTTAAAACAAAAATGAACATGACTATAATGGAAACAGATGTTTTTACTTCTACTAGAAAAAAAATCAAGTTAAAGAAAAATCTGAATAAACAGAGAAACGCACCAAATTTAAAGCTCGCTGGGATTGTCCTGTAATGATTGGCTTTGTTGGCAAAAAAGAAACAAAAGAAAACTGTCACGGAGATGGAAGAAACTCACCGCTGATCAGTTTACCTTGTTTGTCTTCGATAGGTGGTTCTGTGAGGGAAAGGAGCTGGAGAACAGCCCTGACATTCAAATCATCACCAGTGGTGAGCAGCACTCTCTGATTATTGCAGAGGCATTCGAGGAGGATACCGGGCGCTACTCGTGCTTTGCGTCTAACTGCTACGGTACCGACTCCACGTCAGCTGAGATCTACGTAGAAGGTGATCGCTTCTTTCCTCCTTTTTGACACCTTAATATACCGCACTTTAACTTCTTTATTGATACACACCTTCCTGTTCAATGTCACAGGTGCCTCATCTTCCGATTCTGATGTGGAACCGCACTTTGAACATGTAGCCCAGTGAGTTCCTGCCCCGTTGTCGTTATCGTCACCCACCAACAAGAGTTATCAACACTAAACGAAACAAACACTTCTTTCTTTTGTGATTTTTCAAGGCTGCAGAGAAACCAACCAAAGTCATCCCCATCTTTACCGTCATCTGTAAATGAAACCTTCCCTCCAGAGAAGGAGGAGAGCGTGTCATCCCAGCCTGCAGCGGCCCCCGAGGAACAACCAGAGGAGCAGCTCTCGCCTCCAGTGGCTGCTCAAACAGCATCTGAACCTCTTCTACCAATCCGGACATCTGCTGCTATACTTCCAGTCTCAGAGTTATCAGAAGAATCTGTGGCATCAGCAGCACATCCTGCTCAGGAGGAAACATCTGTGCTGTCTGTGCAGGTGTTTCCTGTTTCAACAGGTGATTCAGAACTTAGAGAAGCCCAAGGGGCGTCAGCATTTGTCCCAGTCATATCTACTCCACAGCTGCAACACACGGCTTCAACAACAGCTACGTCACAGCCTTTAAACTCTGTAGTGCCTGTCCTGTCACCTCCAGCACAAACACCCCAGGCTGAGGTAGAATACCTCAAAGGTTTTCCTTTCACTACATATTCTTTATTTTAGTTTAAGTTTATATAATTTGATCCATCCACCCCTTTTTTTGGACTTTTTTTCATCTTCAGAGTCCAACTCCCAACCACAGCTCTCCACAAGGATTAAACGGGCAACCCATTATGGCTGCCCCTGTCTTCACGAAGGTAACTTTTCTCTCAGAACGAGGCTGCTCTGTACAATACTGCTTGTTAAGTGATTTAACTTGAAGCTGGTTTTGTCCCATCAGAGCCTACAGGACCTCATTGCATCAGAAGGCCAGCTGGTGGTGCTAGAGTGTCGTGTGAAAGGGGTGCCATCACCTCGAGTGGACTGGTACAGAGAAGGAAAAATCATGGAGGACTCGCCTGATTTCAGGATCCTGCAGAAAAGTAAGTTCTTTGCAAAAATCTCAAGTTTCTCCATATTTCTTTAGATTTTTCTGGGAAAATGGGAAATAGATACAGTGATTTACTGAAACATGCAAATATATATGGAAACGAACCATGTAAAGAAAAACAGAGGGGTCACTTTTTGTTCTGCTCTGTGTCAAGATGATCCCACAATATTGATTTTGAGGCTTTGGGGAGGCCGATCCATGACTGATTTTCTAGCCAGGTGTGTTTTTACTACATTGGCAGTGTGTTTAGGATTTTTGTCATGCTGAGAAATGAAGCCCATCAGAGGATTTCCAGAAGATTGCAGGGTGCATCAGGCTCTGTCGGTGCTTTTTAGCATTTGTAGTTTCATCAGTTTTGACAGGCTCTCCAACACCACTGACTGAGATACAGCTGCAAACTATGACAGAGTCTTGGTCGTGTTTTATAGATGGCTGTAGACAATCACTCTTGTACTTCAAGATGTCCTCCACATAATTTGGCAAAGATTTGACTTTCAAATTTGAATCCATCACTCCATAATACCCGTTGTCACAAATTTTCACACCAGTTCTTGTGTAATCTGGCATACCTCAGCCTGTTTCCCTTCCTTGAAAATGGATTCTTGATAATAGATGGATCAAGAGCCAAATGTATTTCAGGTCTTTGCTGGACTTTCTGACTTTCCCATCCCATTCAGGAGCTTTACATAGTTTTGTTTTTTTCAATTCTTTTATCCTCTACATGTCTAGGTTCCTCAAATTTTCAAGAACATAATGCATACAATGCCAAGTCATTTCAAGTTTTCAACTTCTAGCTCTTTGGAAATCACTTTGTTGGTTTTAAAATCGATTACTTGCTAAGTTATCTGTTACATGTGGACACAAAACTGGTTCATCCCTCGAGTTAGCTACCTTTTTATGTTAAGGTCAGCGTTAAACGACTTTACAAACCTAAAAAACTGTTTTGACTTCTTCTGAAAACAGTCAGGTACAAGGACTGAACTGAAAATGAATGAATACGTAGCCAATGTCCAAAGAAAAAAATGAAATACCTTCAGAAAGCCTGGAGAAGTATTGCTTAAGATTACTTACAAGAATATTACAAGAATGTCTGCCTCTTTAGAAACAAAATATAAAGAAATGAGGGGTGAGTCAAGACCTTTGCACAGTACTGTATTAAAAAATTGTCCAAGGGTTAATTTCATAAGCTCCAGGTCCTAAATCTTTATATTGCATTAACAGATTTTAAAGCTCAGATTGTGTATACGTGTATGCATCTCTGTATGTGGAATTCACCATAATGAGTATTTAAATATTTTGGAAATGATTGCTAATAATGAGTCTCCAAAAAATTCATTAACAATAACATGAGCTTCTCCCCCCTGGTTTCATAATGATTTTGATACTTGCTTCTATTTCAGAGCCCAGATCTCCAGCTGATTCAGGTACATATTTCATTCAGTCTGTCAAAAATACAAGTGTTGACTGCACCATAGCAGCTGCCTGCCTGTATACGATGCTGCAGTGTGTACATATTCCTCTGTTGAAGTGTTTATAGTCCTTGGCTCAAGCTCCTGCTCTTCCCCTGTACATAAGCCAGGGCTGCTTTTCCTTGAATCTGGACCATATAAGGTAGCCTCCCATCCTGTGTCAAATCACCGTTGCAGATCACTTCAAACAGCCTTAGCTGCACGTAGATTCTCACTGCTGAAACAAGAGTCATGTATCTTTCTTTTCTGCACTTAAACACTTTGAGAAATCGCTGGGGTGCAGCTATAGAATATCCGACTTGATTGCATGCCACATTTTTTCTCTTTACCTCTAGAGGAAATATGCACTTTGGTCATTGCTGAGGTCTTTCCTGAAGATTCGGGGGTGTTCACATGTACAGCAAACAACAAGTATGGAACCGTGTCTAGCAGTGCTGCACTCAGGGTCAAAGGTAACACCTCTCTTTGGCTTTAAAAGTCAACAGCTTTCACATTTCTATCCTTATTGAAATTTCTGTATGTGTGTTGCTGGTTCTCCTCAGGCAATGGCAGCAACAGCAACCATGTGAGGTCTTCAAGCAGTTTAATAGTGGAGCCAAGTCAAGTTCAAGAACTTTCCCCATCAGCTCCTGCTGTAAAACCTCAACCAGAGGTTGTTATAACCAGCAGCATTAAGCCGCACTCCAGCACTATTCGTCTTGACCCACTCGTCTCTAGCACCTTACGCCTGGACCCCTTAAACACTAGCAGCCTTCGTCTAGACCCTCACAACTCTAGCATGTTGCGTCCAGACCCCCTCCGCACCAGCCTGCCCAATCTGGAGCCCTCCAGCCTGAGCAGCAGCTCCTGCTTGAACTCTCACAGCACCAGCACCCCAAATTTAGATCCTCTCTCACACAAGGACCTCTTAGGATCCAGTGGAGCACATGGTGCCAGAAAAATTTTCTCATATCCGAAATCCTTTACTTCTCCATCTGAAGCTGAGACTTCAGCACAGCAGGAGTTGTCCAGATCTTCAGCGACATCTCCTGACATCAGTTCCAAAGTTAAGGGGACCCCAGCCCATCAGAACGGGAGCCCTGTTGTGGTTCCCTTACCTGATCCTCCACCCAACTCCTGCCTAAAGACAGGCAACCTTACAAACCACAAAGACTCACGAACCAACTCCAGAGCAGGCCGACGTGTGCACTTCAAACTGCCTGAGGATGACGAGGGTGAACAAAGTGACACATCTAGTCCCTTTGATGAAGACATCACTGAGGCATCACTCAGCAAAGAACCACCACCAGTGCTGGCTAAGCCTAAACTGTGAGTAGAGCAAAAAGAAAGCAACAACACGTTGCTGAATTTTGAAAAAGTGCGTTGTTGGCAACAGTACAACATGATGAAAAAAAACATGCGCTCAGATGGAGATTTTGTTCATTATTTACCCAAATTCGGTCAAACTTTGAAGTCTGTGTTGAAGTGTGTTTGATGGGCTGTATTATGAAATGAAGAGGTGGGTGGTTCCTCCTCCACTCGCTCAGATAGCAGCTCTAATCCTTTCAGTTCATAAATGAATGCATTCGGACTTCAAATGTGGACCTTCAGACTTTCTAAGACAAAGGATGGCGTTTTCTATTTGTAAGTTTGTTTCTGTGCATTTATGTTGATCGGTTACTTCTAATAATGCTGTAAATCACATCCTGTTCTATGATTTAGCTTTTCTTTTTCTTCACAGGCTAAAACACAGATAAACATGACAAATAATTTATTGTGAGCCAATTTGCAGTCATTTCATGGTTACAAAAGAGGCAAACATTTTGTTTTCACTGAAAGCTCAGTGTATCTAAAGCTCGGTCTGTGTTGTTTATGGGCTGCTTGTTGGTAGTCCATAAAAGGGCAGAGTATTCTGCTGGATGCACTGAGCCTCTCTCGTCTTCACCATGTATAGTTTTGGTTCTTTGATTTTGTGTCTGTTTGATCAACAGGGACCCAGCTCAGCTCCAGATCCTGCACAACCAGGTCCTCATGGAGCAGCAGCAGGAGACTGAACCAGAAACGCAAACCCCCATCCAGCCTCAGTCTCACCCACCGTACCAGACCCAAATCCAGCCCGGAGTCCAGACCTCCCCTGAAGCTCCACTGTGGTCTCCAAGAATACCGCACGTGCCGCCTTTACATACTACATCAGCCCTTCAGCAAACCCCACACTCCGCACCTCCAGTGACCACCACCCCACATGCGCCAGGATCAACGTCTGCTGCAGCACTCAACACCACCTTTTCACCTTTTCTTAACACTTCCCAAGCTTCCCTTTTGAGCTCTCCTCCTTCACTTCCTCAGCATATGAAATCCTCACTGGTGACCTCCCCTCCACCTGCCCCACAGCTAAACTCCGCCCCTTCTCTCAGTACAGCACCTGTAACCCAGATGAACACCATCCATGCCTCCCATATTAACCTGTCCCCTGCATCTTTTGCCAAAACTGCACCCACAGCCCAGTTTTACTCTCCGCCTGCACCAAAGCTCAACACGGTTTCTACAGATTCGACCCCGGCCTTGCAGCAGATCACCTCCCCGGCTCCTCTTCTAAGAAGCACCCACGCCTCCCTCATGAATCTCACACCTACCTCACACTCCTTCAACTACATCCGACCTAAAGAGTTTGTAACCGCTCAGACCCTCTCACCGGTCAGGAGTCCTTCCCCAACAGAGTCACCAGTACCACTATTACACGAGCTGGCTGCTGAGCTCAACTCCTCCACGGCTAGCTCCCCTACTCTCCTCCCACCCCTCTCCCCACCACCCAGGATTTTCCCCACAAGGGTGCTCAAGTCTCCCACCAGCCCACCGTCTCTCGTATCCTCGCCTACACCGGGGTCAGTGCATAGCTTGTTCGTCCTAAGAGCCCAGTCACCCCCTCAGGCTTCTTCTCCCACCTCCAGCAGCTCCACTCCGAGTCCCATCCAAAACCCCGTCGCCTTCCTCAGCTCCGTCCTGCCATCCCTGACCCCGAGCCAGCCCACCAACTCAATGGGCCTGCCCAAGGGAGCTCCGTTAGGGTATGCCGTGTCTGACAAACGACTGCTAATGCAAATGTGACTGTCACACGTTCTGCCATGTGTTCTGTTTTTTGCCCTCTGTTTACTCAGGCTTCAAAAGAAGGCACTGAAGATCCGCCCTCCGTCAGCTGAAGCCATCCGCGAGAGCAGAGAAATTATCCTCCTCGACATCGAGAAGAAGCTTCGAGTTAAAGACGACACTCCACATTTTGTACATCAGCAGGTACTAGGTGGTCTCTGTGGCTTGACTGCCTATTTTGTACTGATGAAGTGGTGAAGAAAATAGAACGGCGCATCAGCAAAAAGATTTTTCTTAGCCCAACGGGCGAATCCGGTGGTTTCTCTCGCCTCCACTGGATCCCCGCTCATCGGTTTAAAATATTAGTATGTGATCAATAATTGCAATAGAGTTTTTAATACTTTTAAAGATCATATTTTATCGAGTATTAACCAGTGACTGTGCTGCGTTCTCACATCTTGTTGATGGAGACATTTATACGAAACCTCATTTCCAAAAAAACCCCAATTGTGATGCAGCGTAAAATGCAAATGTAGCTAATCCGCTGATCATTAAACCCTTTATTTAAGACGACACATCAAATGTTTAAACTTTCAAATACTGTTATACATCGTCCCTTTTTAAATGAAATAAAGGGTTTACATGATTTTTGAAGCATTACATTGTGTTTTTATTTTTGCACAGCATTCCAGTGTTTTTGGAAATGATGAATACAGAGCAGTGCAATCATTGCCTCCCCCAGTCATTAACTGTCATTCATCTTCTGATGTCAGTGTAGCCTAACAACCTCTGCATGCTAATAATAACAGCTTGTGCGTTATTCCATCACTCTGTGTTTGTATGTAGGGTTTGTGTGTCTTTGGTGTTCTTCATCCATCCCTGTCCTTTCATAGAAGCTGAGTAATGAGGGGAAAACAGCGAGCAGGCCCCTTGGACCAAACACTGCCGCTACTGTCATTAACTATGATGAGGTACACGGACCCGACCCAAGCACTACTTTGCTCGAGGCTGTATGGGTTATACTTCTGTTTCAGACACAACTTAGGATACTGTCATCTACAGGAGTGCACATAAGTGGTCCGCAGATGTCAAAATAAAAGACGCGCTCCAGATAAGAAGTTGCAACGCGCGTTTGCGTACATAAGATTTTCTGGAGGAGGACAGACATTTGTTTAGAACTCTTAAAGATGTCAAAGAAGCTCCTTCAAGCATTTTTTTTGGTGTTCCTCCACCTCCAAACAAATGTCAGAAGGAGTCCGAACCACAAAAGAAGCACGTATTCTCGGACAAGTGGTTGCAGGAGGTGAGCTGGCTTCAAACGAATGATGAACGCACAGAGATTTGATGCAGAATATGCCGTGAAAATCCCACTCTAGCGGACAAAAACAGTGCCTTTTATATGTATGCAAACGCGCGTTGCAACTTCTTATCTGGTGCGCGTCTTTTATTTTGACAGCGCATGCGCACCTGCGGCCCGCTTATGTGCACCCCGGGTCATCTACTTATCTAGTTTCCTTAATATCTCTAATCCAGCATCCACGTTTATGTTAACTAATACAGAGCACAACCTGCACGAATGATGATGATGAGAATAATAATAATAATAATAATAATCCAATTAAAGGGGTTCAAATTCAAAAAAGATTCAAAATATTGTTTTCCTATATTGGAAAACTATATTTTGCAGCCTTTTCTTCATGAGTTAAAAAATTCCTTCCTCTCAGTGTTTCCTCAGTAACACTTCTACTTTTAAAAACATACATATTACCATGAAATTTCACACACCTCATCTTCCTCTGTTCTCTGTTTTACCCTCAGTTTTTGTGATTAGGTTAGATAAGCCTTTTTATTTAGCTTACAGTAGGTGGGGTTTTTTTTGTTTTTTAACCTGATGCTCCCAGATGCTGCTGTGTGGTCTTTCAACAACTGGTTTAAAGTCTGCATCTTTTTTTATTATGAGGTTTGAGTTTTGAGATGCACGTTGTCTCATGTTGCCGATTACTGCAAACCTCTCTTATCTCCCTGAGTTGTGGTTTCTGTGTATCAGGTGTGCATGTTACTGTAGCCATTTATTGTCAGGCCAGCCTGTGTGAGCAAACGGGGGACACGGTCCATGCAGCAGTATGACTGTTGTAACTATATTTATGTCGTGCTTCTCCTCCACTAGGAGTATAAAGTGTCCAGTTTTGAGCAAAGGTTAATGAGCGAGATCGAGTTCCGCCTGGAGAGGACGCCGGTGGAGGAGTCAGACGACGAGGTGCAGCACGATGACGTTCCCACGGGAAAATGCATTGCACCCATATTTGATAAGAAACTAAAGAACTTCAGGGCTATGGAGGGAGTGCCTGTAACTTTCTCATGTAAAGTAGTGGGAATCCCGGCACCAAAGGTGAGAGGTCAACAGCTAGGCTATGCAAAAACATCTCTGACTTCGACCTCAGATTTTGTCATTCACACCTGTGGCTCTCATCAGGTTTACTGGTTTAAGGATGGCAAGCAGATCCTGAAGAAGAATGTCCATTGCAAGAAGATAAGAGAGGGGGACGGGACCTGTGCTTTACACATAGAATCCACGACCAGTGACGATGATGGAAACTACACCATCATGGTAGCCAATCCACAGGTGAAACTTCTGACTTATATCCTCTTCATGTTATCAGCACCTTGTTCTAGCTGCTCGAGCTGAGCTGTGATGTGATATTTCACTGATCACCAGGGGCGAATCAGCTGCTCAGGTCATTTAATAGTCCAAACGGGACCTCCCCGAAACCGAATGACACCCATTCATGCTCAGAGGTGAGTGTGCAGGGTGAACAGGCAAATATAGATTATCCTCTCTGATAGTAATATTGGTTTGGTAGCGCTTTATAACTGTAGATCTAAGTCATTCTGTTTAGCATTTGAAAGGAACATATAAACCTTTCAGAAATATTCCTATAAAAGTAAACATAGTGTTATTGATATTCTGGGATCTATTCTTAGTGGCCATTTACAAAACCAAGTGGATTCATGTGTGTGTTTCCTATAACATGCTGTGATCGCCTCCACGTTTTCAGGGTGCGAAACCGCATACAGGAAGTTGAAGGTGAACAAAGTCAGGGGCGCTTTTTTCAACCTCATTTCCTCCAGGCTCCAGGGGACACGATGGCTCATGAGGGAAGACTGTGCAGACTAGACTGTAAGGTAGGCAGGAGGTCCCCGTGTGCCACTGAAGCCAGGAAGAATGTTGCCTCCCCACACTGTAACACGTTTCTGTTCTCCAGGTGAGCGGCCTACCCAACCCTGAGCTCATGTGGCTGGTCAACGGGAGGCCCGTTTATCCAGACCTTTACCACAAGATGCTGGTGAGAGAGAACGGCGTCCATTCCCTGGTCATTGACCCTCTCACTCAGAAAGACGCCGGCACATACACCTGCATCGCAAGCAATAAAGCAGGGCAGAGCTCCTTCAGTCTGGAGCTGCAGGTTGTGGGTAAGGACCAAATACGATTGGGACTTTTGCTTTTTGACAATCCCAATGTGGACATTTCAATTATACATATTCGTTTTAGAAAAGGAAAGGAAGCACCCACCCCAGTTTGTGGAGAAGCTGCAGAATATGGGGATTCCTGAGGGAGCTCCAGTAAGGCTGGAATGTCGCGTTGTGGGTATGCCTCCTCCGGTCATCTTCTGGAA